AAAAGTGGAACCCCAAAATGGCAGCTTGGCAAATGGAACCAAAGACTAAAACCCGCGGTTTGCCCCAGCTCTTAAATTTTGAGCCATGCCCATTTAGGCGCGGATTCAGGCAACCACCAACTGTTGTTCAGGTGACCGTATGTGTTTTCTATCATACAAAACCAATATACAAAACCAATTTTCAAGCAAGCATCAGGAAAACGAGTCTCCGCCAATGACTCCGGAACCGACTGGACCCCAGCCCGGATGCTCGGACCAGCTCCGCTCGTCCCTGGTGGCATCTTGTAAAGGAACTTTGGCTGAAGAACCAGGCTGGTTTATGCAACAACCTCCCGATTTATGTCCTCCCCAAGCGTCACCTGAAGGGAACTCGACTTCAAGAAAAAGCAATGTTCTGGGGCTGATTTGTATGGATCCATTTTCGGCCCATGGATCCTTTGGGGGCCGATATCCCATACTTAACCCCATAACTAAGGGGATTCAGCAACCCACTAACCAGGGGTTGATGCCAGGGGGTTGTATATCATGCGTTCAGCTTCTGATTCTGAGGGAACCCTTGGGCTCCTTCCCAAACCCCTTGACCATACTGGTGTGCTAGATGGCATTGGTAAATGAAAATCGAACCACACTGAAACCAGGAAACCCATCTATGTTCAACCAGACTAACCTTAAAAGGACACCTATGCTCCTGACCTATCGAACCAGCGAGTTATTTGGCGGTTCCTGAAACGATTCCATACCAAGAAGCAGTAAGCAAAGCTTCCTAGGATGTCAAATCTGGGTGTTGGGGGTCACGTTGGTCCGAAAAGAAGTTCACGATGTTGGGCTCCCAATCAATACCTGACAACTACTACCAAAAACCGACAGTGCCATTTCAAACGGGAAGCACCACCTCAAAAGTGGTTGCTTAAATCCACACCAAGTTCTGATGTCCATGTCGGATTTCTTGACAAACATGGCCCAGTTAGGAGCGCGCTGGTGTTTGATTCCCATTCACTCGGCTTCCCAAAAAAATTAGCAGGGAGCCCAAAAAGGGCGGGCGGTGAAGATGGCTGGCTGCATTCGCCCAGCAGAACGGTGCCTTTTCCATCAACACCAAGTTGCAATCCCCCTTCAAATGGCCAATCCCGCTACGTGGAAACGGGCGTTGCCCATTCTTCAGATATAAGTATACCGTAATACTGTGGATGGACAAAATCCTGCACCACCCAAGAAACTCTAGAATGATTCGATTCCCCTGCAAATACCAACATACCATGGTTTCCCGTGGTTTCAAAGTGGTGCAAGATTTCGTCCATCCACAGTATGTGAAGCGAAGATGTACTAATAGATCGAGGTTTTTCCAACTTGAAGATTAAATCTGAATGCCCCATTGCCACCACAAAAGGCGGGTCGTGTGCGACCCACATTCATGGAAGCGATCCTTGAGAGTGCCCTTTGCACCAATCTAAAAAGGATACCAATGGAAGCCATTCACTTCTGGCCGAGCAGAGCATCTGAGGCGTTTTTCACCCATTAGCTTCAAAGCATTTGGCTTTTTTGACAGCGCCCCCATCGGCTGTCGGCGCGGAATCCAGGTGGCAGGGATTGGTCATGGACTTCCAAAGGAGGCTATATTGGTGCATCTTTTTTAGGGGACCCCCCCAAAAAGAAAAAACACATAGAGGCGGTTTTTCTTGTGGTTTCCCTTCCAAAAGCCTGCCAAAAAAATACCCTCAAAAACAACACACACACACACACACACATTGGATATGCTATTTGTTTTTGAGCTCGGAACCCTGTTTGGGGTTTGGTCTAAATGGAGATTCAAAAGGAACACCGAAGCGTGTTAGAGGCCCCTTTGATACATCCCCATATTATATGGGCAAGCCCAAATTTTCTGCAACCAGAAGCCATCATCTGGTCAACTCATCCTGATTTTAGGGGTTCCCCTGAAAAGGACGACCCCCCCCAATGGTGGTGTTTTGAATGGCCCAAAAGCTTAGCTCGCCTTGAGGCTCTTTGTCGATACGAAACATTTCTTGGTTCAATCATGGTCCAAATCCCAGGCAAAGAGTGTCATTTGTTTGCCGCTTGAAAGGAAAATGGTGGAAAACCAAAAAGCACCGCCCCCCCCCCCCGCCCAAAAAAAAAGAAAGAGCTCAGTCTGGCAATATTGCGTTGTAACTTAGAGCAGTTGCACATGGTTGACATCTAATGGAAATGGAATTGCACCGGTCTCGTCTCCTTTGCAACTTGTTTCCTCCTCCCCGTCACCTCACGAGTCGGCGGGGCCGAGCTACTGCTACTGAATTCCAACCTTTGGCCCTTTCCGGGCAACCGTGCTGCAAACCCAACGGACGCTTCGAGGCGAAGATAAGTCCGGTGCTTTCGAATCACTCAGAATACCTTTGAACCTTCTTTAGAAAAGGAGACGTGGGCGGAAGGCAAAACACAGAAACAACGAAGTGGCTAATGTAGTGGTATCCCCCAATTCCATTTTGAAGGGGGTGGGGATGTAGTGGTGACAAGTCTGACTTAACATCCTCGGCATGCTGAACATCCTCAGCATGCCGCATCCCCGGCATTTCTGGCATCCCCAGCATCCCCAGCATCCCCGGCATCCCCAGCAGCCCCAGCAATCCCTCGACCAATCGTTTGTATGGCCGTTGGGGCAGCTCTCCACCAATTGTCTAAACTGAACAACGTGCCCCAAAAGGACTTGAGAACCCAGCCGTTTTCTCTTGGGACATCTCTTCGGGTTCAACAACCCCCCCGCCCCACCCACCGGGAAACGCTCATGAAGGTTGGATCGGACCTGCCACGCGCGGCTCCGATCTTTGTGTTTCGATCGAATCACACCTGTTGGCCCTGCAGCACTGGAGAAGGCTCCAAATTTGCAAACTCAAGCTCACAGAAAGAACTGCGCGCGAGATCGTTTCGCAGGTCCTGTGACATGGACAGGTGCCACCACAGGAAGCATATCAGAGTCTGAAGGCTCGCCATGCTGGCCCAAGCAGCTTCTGCAGTACATCAAAGCTCCCACAATTCGGACCGCTCGGTCCGAACAGCGCACAAACACGCCAAAGGGCTGGGAGCCAACGATCCATCTGGACTTGGGTGGTGTTCTCCTTCTCCTGTTACTTATTCTTACTCCTTCGCATGTTTCTTACTAGGTTTTGTCTTCTTTATTCTTTCTTTCTTTCTTTCTTTCTTTCTTTCTTTTCTTTCTTTCTTTCTTTCTTTCTTTCTGTCTTTCTTTCTTCTTCTTCTTTCTTCTTCCTCCTCCTTCTTCCTCCTCCTTCTCTTCTCCTTTAGCTGTTGCTGCCCTTGAGGCTAGGTCAGCTTCCCAAGACTGGGAGCAACCCTATCTGAACCCACACGGGACCCGTTCCTGTCTTCGGATACATCGTCGGGTTGTGGGATTTGCCGGAGATACCATTGCAACAAAAGAAACACTGAAGAAGTCGTCCCCTAAACGCGCAGGCTCCCCGTCACAAAGTATCAAACACCGATCATTCCACTTTGATTGAAGGCAGACGAGCTCACAAGGATCCATGCTGGGCGAGCTTCCAGTTGGGTGTTGATCCGACAGCCGAGCGCAAGCCAATGCTGTGTCTCCCATAGAATCACACCGACTATGTGGGCCCCTTACATCCACGAAACCACATGTCTAGTTCATTTGTATTCTTATGTTGTTTTGCATTATATATATATAGGTTTCGGGGGGGTTATCTTGAAACAAGCCTGTCCCAGGATAACCAAACAAATGGTGGCGATTCCTCCAGCGGAAAGCAAATGGAAGTCGGAAAGACTCTGAGCCACAAAGCCACACGCGGTTTTCTCGTTTTTGGGCTGCGACGTTTTGTTTGGAGATTATGCTTTTTACCATCAAAAAGACAGGATTTCGTCCATCCACAGTATGGCTGTTGTTTTTTAGGTCGGACCCACTGAATTTTTTGTTGTCCTTTTCGTTTCCTTTTTAAACTACCAAGACACACCCATAGAACCACCACACCCCACGCCGAACCAACTCGTCGGATCAACTGCCCGCTGTTCCGTTCGAACGGACCCGCAGCAAACAGAGCCGCAGACCTGAGTCCGACATCCGCCCGGAAATCCCAAGGCCATGTTGGGAGGAGGGGGGTCTCTTGTCGACTTGGTGTCAAAACTGTTTGGGGTGGCGTGCCTTTTCTTTTTTCGAAAGCAAAAGGAAAACCGAAACCCAGTTCAAGTCTTGTGTTACCTTTCTGGGGCGGTGCGTTTGATTTTTTGAAAACCGAAACCCGTGGGTCCCAAACTGTATACGACACTCTTGGTGCCAAATCTGTTTGGGGTTGTTGTTGTTTTCAGGGGGCGACCCAAAAGGAAAACCCCGAAACCCGTGGGTCTAAAATTTTCTGTGACGCCTCATGTCGTGTCCTCGTCTCAGGTCACAAAGCAGAGGGCTTACCAGCAACGCCGGGCTGATCACGCTCGCGCCCAAGACCCTTCAAAGGCTGATTGTATAGGCATAGGTAAGCCGTTCAACAGAGGCGATGGTTCACCCAGAAACTAGGGGTTCATACCGGGGGTTCATATATGGCTAGGTCCTCCAGTAGTGGGGGGGTTAGAATAAGGCTACCCTTTTTCCTGCAGTTTGTTTTAGTAGGGCAACCCTCCCCCAAAAAAGAAACGATAAAAGGGCACCAATTGCTGGGGGACCTGATTACTGGGGGTTTATCCGACCACTTCTGTGATCCCTGGGTATGGGTCAAAATCAAACCACCAGGATGTTTGTGGATCTCCCAGAAGAGTTTTTTCAGGGCGGTGGGCAGTGGAATCTGTGATACAAGAGCAAGGGCCGAACCCCAAAGACTACCCCCAAAGAAAGGGGGAGATGCAACCAGTGGCTGTGGGTCAAAACTATGTACCCAAGAGGGAGCCCTGGTAAATGCAAACACAGGGATATCCCAGAAAGAAGAATCACAGGAAAGCAACACCCCATTCGAACCATTCGAACAACAATACCCCACCTCTCTGTGAGACACCTGGTCTTAAAACCAGGCTGTTTGAAGGCCCGAAATCAATCGATTTGGAGCCTCTGGGGAAAGAAGAAACACGGGAAAGCCACACGCCCAAAGACGCCTTGACCTGCGATTCTGGGCGCCCTTGGGCTTTCGACCAGTCAGCTCCCACCCGGCCCTTCGCCATCAGTTTGGAGCCGGGATCTGGCGCGGGAGCGAGTTCTACCCCACCGATGTTTCCACTCCAGAGCAACAAACGGCCAAGACCAAGAAACCATGATGAACGCGGAAACCCATGTGAACCATGATTGCTAGGAACGGAAAACTCCGCTTGGGAAGTGGAGCCCCTTGTGGGTGCCTTCCCTTATGCAGAGTAGGATGCGAAAGACTCGAAAGCCACACTGATGTGACTGTTGCAACCGTCCGGTTGACCACTTCCAAATGGGGGGTGGGGGCGCTGAACGGCGCCAGTCCGCGTTCAAACGGTGCAGGTCCAAGGTCAAACATGGCCATCTTCCGGCGAAACATCATGGACCGTGGCATATAGGGAAACCGCCCCTTGCGATACATCAACACCGTTCAAGGGTCCGCCGGTCTCGCAGAAAGCGAGCCTGAGGCGATGGTTCCTACTCATGTGTCCAGAACTCGCTGGCACTGTATCGACACATGTACCCGTCCTTCAACCCTGCATTCATCCCCAAGTTGATAAACTGGTGCGCCGAATCCTTGCAAATTCAAGAAAGGCATCCCACAAGAGGCCTTCGACCCCTTTGCAGTGGAATCGCTCGCCAGTAGGGTAGAAATCATTCATTTCCATTTGCGTTTTTGTCCCATGGAATACAACAAAAACAAATCCAGCAGTGACAGATTCCCTTTAAAGCCAGGCAAAAAAACATATTATTATTTTTTATTTTTATTTTTTTTAATTTTTTTTTTTTTTTTAAAAAAAAAAAATGTTAAAAAAAAAAAAAAACAAAACAAAAAAACATATCAGCAAATGGAAGTTTAGAATTTGTTCTTCAGATCACTTCTCTTTTGAAAAAGATTGGGTTTATAGCCGGCTCCAAACGGATGCCTCACAGAGGTTGACAAAAGTGACGGTCCATGTGCGGAAATCGGAATCTGTGACCCTTTAAAAATGGGGATGACCCTATTATTTTGGGTAATGACCCCATATTTTTAAGGGGTCATGGAGACTTGTTTCCCATAAAGGGAATCGACTTCACTACTGGGCATATGTTGGTTCTTTCCAGGTGACGAAACACGCACATGGATTTTTTTTCCTGGGTGTTTGTCGATCTTGGACCAATCTGTGAGAATGGCTAGCTGTCAGTTACCCACAACCTCACAAGTCACCTGGTTGGTGTTTGTAAATACAGGTTTCTAAAGCTGACCCCATATTAATCATCAATCAACCCCCTGCCAATTGATAGGGGGGTGTTCCCCTCAAAAAGTGCTGATTCCGAACGAAAACCAGGAACACCCCCCTATTAATAAACTGGTCGGTTGATTCATATGGGGTCAACAATGTCCACTTCACTTGGCACCGGCAACTCCGAAAAACTCAGCGGCTCAACCCCCCCCCAAAACCCCCCCTGGCCGTCGCCTGCTTGGGGGTGCCCACCACGACCATGGGCGGGTTTGGCACCACCGTGATCTTCATGTCCGCCGAGACCTCGCCCTTCGCCGCTTTCGCCTGCGCGAGGTCCGTCATGTCCTTCTTCAAGTCCTGGACGGCATGGCGCGGCGGACAGGCGCGTCTTTTTGGGGGCAATGCGCGGCGCGGCCTTTTGTTGGGAGCCACATATTTTCAAATCGCGCCTGGGGGGTCCACCGTTCTTTTTTGAAATAAACACGGCTGGTGTGAATTCAACAAAGAACGGATCCGGATTTGGACCCCTCTGAATGGCGCAACCGTTCTCCTTTTGGTTTGCCATCAAAACTAGAAAGAAAAAAGGACAAGGGGTGCCCTCAAAACAAGACACACCCATATGGGTAAAAAAACCATTTGGTTTCCCATCAAGACTACCAAATCAAGGTACCCTCCAACAAGATGAACCACCCACACTCGTCAAAATATAAAGAGATTTGGAGCCCAAAGAGGTCGAGCTTGACCTAAAAACCCATTCCCTTCTTGAGGAGTTGACCCATTCCCTTGACCCATTGACCCATTGACCCATTCACCTATTGACCCATTCCCTTCTTGAGGAAACTTCGTGGAGGCCCCTGCAGGTCTCACTTTTCTCCGGGGAAAAAAGAAGAAACAAAAACGTGGCGATACCTCCGCCGAAAAAGTGCTCGCCACCCCGAGAGGTTCGGCTCGTGGTTTCAAGAGCTGGAAGCCCTTGAGGTCCTGGTGTCCTTTCGGATAAATGTTGATGGGTTTTCCCTGGTAGATGGACTAACACCCATCTAAACCAGTGGAATCCTTCTATTTTTAACCACACTCACCTAAAAAGGACACCTATGCCCTTGAGTGGTTACCCCCGGTTGAAGCCAACAACCCAAGTTTCTGATGTCCACATTTGTTCGATCAGCCCAGTCTTTTTGAGTCGCCTCCCTCGCAGCTTCGAGATGTTTTCGGGGCTGGGGGGGTTGGAGGGGAGGGGGAGGGAGCCCAAATAAGCCCTAAATAAGGCCTTAATAAGGGCTTTTAATAAGGGTTTTTTGGGGGCTCCCTCCCTCTCCCCCAGCCTCCATGAAGATGGCAGCAAGAGTCAAGGCGCTGCAAGTCCATAACTGAGTCACAGACACCAGAACGATTTTGACACCCTGCAAAAACCACCCTGCCACAAGCCCGACAACCACCAAAACCCGCCCATCCCGACCTTCATTTTCTCCCCCAAAAACAGATCTCCATCGTGGCCCCATTGGTCGACCCAATGCAAATCGGATCTCCACGCATCCAATTCCAAGACGTTTTTTCCACCCCACCAAACCCGAATTCGTCCGTCGGCTTCGGCTTCGGCTTCGGCTTCGGCTTCGGCTTCGGCGGTCGGCGGTCGGCGGTCGGCGGCCTGTCTCGGGCGACAGCACTGGCAGCACACGCAGCACCCCATGACGGAGGCCACGAGGCCCAGAAGGCAGGAGACCCAGCCATAGGCCCCGATGTAGACCTCAGCACGTGGCTTGGACGTTGGTACCTGCCACACTGATTGCGAGGCTGGGATCAATCCTGATAACAGAAGTTGACGCCACCTGAAATGATAAAAGGACACAAACTGGCTAAGGCAAACAAAAACCGATTTATGTGATGTTATTTTTGCGTGAGTACACTTTTAGGGTGCACCAGGAATGATGATTCCCCTGTAAAACCAAACAAACAGTGGCTCTTCATGGTTTCAAGTGGTGCGAAATGAATTTTGTTCCCCCACAGCACCTGTGACCTTGAAGCACAAAGACTCATAAAAGGGTGTGTGCTTCTTGGAGGCTCGAGGTCTGATCAAGGGGCCACCAGGGGTGAAGGGTGACGTGTCTAACTTCCAAGGCCATTTGGGAAGCACCTCTAGGTCCTCCAGTAGAGAAGGTAGAATAAGTTGGTACCCTTTTTTTTCCTGTACTCTATTTTAGTAGGGTCCCGAACCCTCCCCCAAAAAAGAAACGGTAAAAGGGCACCTAGCTGGGGGACCTAGCCCTTTGTCCTCAACCATCGACCACGAGCCTAAGTTCTATTGCTTCACGTTGCCAAGCTCCTGGGTTGGCGCTCTCCTTTTCTGTCTGACACTTCACACAGGATATCCCGAGCGTTGCCGTTCAGCCGTGTTGCTGGCTTCTAGTTGGGCCAATTTGTGAAAGTGGGGGAATAACCGCCTAGTACTCAGGATTGCTCACAAAAAGGAGTTCATGCATGACTGAACTGACTAAACCTGGACCATGCCCGCTGATGGGAAAAGTCCAGCTTTGTGATGGATGGCATCCCAATGAGGAGTTCCATCAACTGGTGCCTGGGATTTTGTCCATCAGGATTCTTCCACTTCTCAAGCGAAGCAAATGCAAATGCAGTCACCTGAGTCGCTTCACTTCGTGAAGCAAGGGGCCAAACAAGGGTCCGAACTTCTGGTTCACCAGTCTGTGTTGGCGTCCCAAAATTGATTTGCTTCTCCTTTGGTGGTCATTTAAAGCCGACCGTGAAAAGACTTGCTACCATCAAAAAACGACGAGCCACACACCCCTGAACCAGACCCAAGTCGCAAAAAACGCCATCGGAGAATAAATCCCGACTCGCCACTTTGGTCTCCCTTGAAATAGTCAAACAACTATAGGGGTTGATTCCTTTTCCATTCTTTTCAATCATCCTTTTCAAAAACTGGATCCCGGTTTTTAAGATGGGAACCCCTGAAAAGATTCGGATCCCTGGATTCAGAATGGAAATGGAAGGTACCCCCAGAATTTGAAGGCACCTGGCACCGATTCCGTTAAGAACCCACCGTTAAGAATGGAATTGGAAGGTACCCCTAGAAAACATCGTCAAACAATGGCTCACCCGGGAAGGGGGGCAGCCCCTGTCCAAACTCTGCTTACGGAAGAAAACTCTCACCGGTGGCCACCCACATACCGGCCTCGCCCCCTTCAAAGGCACGTTAAAAGGATAGATCCACCTCTGGAAGCTTTGGACAAGCCCACAAATATCCCCAGCCAACAAGGGAGCTCAGTTTCTCTTAAGGTTGACCCCAGATTGATAAACGCCTGTGTATTAATATGGGGGTGTTCCTGGTTTTAGTGGGAACACCCCCATGTTAATAAACAGGGGTTTATTCATCCGGGGTCGGCATTAGTTCTGCGATTTCAACAATAATTCCAACAATCTGAAACGGATGCCATTGGGGGGGACCCCCAAAATGGCCTTCGGTGTCCCTTCTGGTTTCCCAAACAAGGCCAAAAGGGTACCCGCAAAAAAATACATCTGCAAGCAAGACTTGGATCCCCAAGTGAGATACCTTCATGATACTCATCGGCAGAGTTCCTGCCCTCCCCTGAATATTTCTCAAAATAGGATTTGGAACAGCCCCCTTTAGTTGGTACCCAAAGGAAAATGTCAAACAACCCTGTGCGGCCTGTTTAGGAAATGGAATGGATCCTCCTTTGAGAAGTACCCTCCCCAATCACCTGGGTTTTTGTTTCCACCCCGTGGGGGCCCGTTGCTTTCCCTTGAACCCCCCGCAAAAAGGGTATCCTCCTCCAGGCGATTCCATGGAAGCTATGGGAAGACTTAGACAGGCCAAGCGAGGATACCATCAAACACAAGTAGATCCATACGTCACCTTTCGGAAACATTGATGGCCCATGAGAAAAAAGCAAAAGCCCGCTCACACAAACCAACTATTTCTATCCAAACCAAAGGACACCTATTTTGGCGTGCGTATGGTGTCTTTCCAGACACCATGCTCGCCCATTGCCCATCGTAGCCCCCAGGCCTCCAGCGGTCAAACAAAACAGGCCACGGACCCGTCTCTCCGTCTCCCGGTCTCCGTGTACCCGTGTACCCGTCTTTCTCGGAGTTCTTCTTGGCGCTCAGGGAATGAGAAATGGAATGACCCCTTTGGTCTTCCCGGACACCACCAGTTGGATGGTCTTTCTCTTAAAGCTCCTGAGCCAGTTCTCATTCCCTGAGCACCAGCAACAAGTCTTTCGGCTCTCCTTTCGAAATCAAAAAACGATTAAAAAATGTATATTAAAAAAACAGAGAGAAGACAAAAAAGCTGGGCCCCGCGCCACCAGGAAGGCAAGGCCTTGGCAGATCTTCCCGATCTGCTCCTGGCCGCGACATGTCGGCGTGGGCGGGGCGCATCGGCGCATTCTCGGGGTTGCTGGGCAGTGGCTTTCGGCCTCCCATTGAACCCTTCAACCGGGTCGAACAGAACCGCAAGAAACCGAGTTCCATGTCCTCCAAAAAAAAGGCCACCTCCCGCTAAACGACTGAGCAAAGGGTGTTGTTTTTTTCAGATTTGGGGGTTTGTGACAAGTAAAGCCAATCAAGATGAACCTCCTGACCGGGAAGTCATGGATATATTGACCCAACCATTTGAAACTCAAGGGCGATCCAGCTGAATCCCAGACAAAACGCTGGCAACCTCATTGTCAGCTCGCCGGGTCAGCTTTCTGTTGGTTGTCTGAAACCCAACGGGATTGACGACCATGAAGAACCAACCCCAGGTTTAGCTAAGGCTTGTGGCTCTCCAAATCGCTGGCTTCTCCCTTTTGTTTTTCCCTTTTCAAATACCAGATGCTCGCGCGTTCCGAACGTGTGGCACGGCCGAAGAAGGCAACCACTAGGACTGATTCATCAATCTGATTGAAGGACGCTTGTTCTGTGAGCTTGCTACGAGTCTAGGAAAAAGCAATCCACAAAGGGCCTTTCACCCACCTACCTGGATAGGTGCGCCTGCATTTGGGCGGCTCGTCTTCTTTTTTACGGGCACGCTTTTTGGGGTTGATGTAGAGGGAAACCAACGGGAAGCCACGGCAGGTGGGGTAGAAATATCTACTGCATTACACTAGGATCCGACTCCCCCCAGCCAATTCCTGCGGGTCTGCCAACAAAAATCCACACCCATTTGGGTATGGCTGTGGGTCAAAAATCGGTAGCCAAAAACGGAACCCTGGTAAATGGAAACATAGACTAAAATCTGCGGTCCTTTGGGGGTTTAATATTGACCCAAACCCGTATGTCAAAACATTGGAACCCCACAAGTGGCGGCTGCTTCTGGCTGAAAGAGCGCGTCCCGCTATTCGTGCGTCCTTTTTCAGGATTTCCAAAGGACAACCCTTTTTTTCAGCGGGGACTCCAACCTTCAAAAAAAAAAACACACTATTTTTTTTGGGGGGGGAACTCCAACCAAAAAAAAAAGAACGCCTTTACGGTCACACTCCTCCCATACCACACGCTCTCACGCTCTCCTTCTCCGCGGCGTCGCACTCGTAGCCGCTGCACCGGTCCTGCGAAGGGGTGTTCGGGAAATCGACATGAGGCGCCGACGTTTCCATGCTTCCATTTGGTTAAGACCGCTGGAAAAAATGAAAATATGTCCAGTAGTGATAAAACCCGTTTAAAACCAACAAGGGATAAAAAAAAAAAAAAAAACTTAAGAAAATGAAAGCATTGTAGACACAATCTTCCATTGAAAGACATCATATAATGGTGTTCCATGGTGTTCTTTTGTCCATGAATTTCCGTGTTTTTGTTTTTGGTGTTCCATGTTCTATCATACAACTTTCCATGGTGTTCTGGGTTCTCCATCTTCTCTCTCAGTTGGCATCATACACCAATCAACATGGAACCTGACGTTGCGGGGGTCCTGGAAGACCACTTTCCTTTTAAAGGGACCCTGTCAGGTGACATGTTAGTCGGTGGGAGGAGTACCCCAGAAATTGAAATGGCTTGTCCCCTTGTGGGGTGTCCCTTTAAAACCAGCAAAAAGGAGGTGGCCCCCCCCCCAAAAAAAAAGAGGAACAGAAGCACGCAAAAAAACACGCCCATGTGCCCTCCGACTAGCGCCTACTTGGCGGACATCACCAAAGTGGATATGGATTCCCTTTCACGGAGGCAGGTCTTCTTTTGCTCCCTGGAATGTTAACCCAAGCAGAACCTGTGGAGAAACTCTTTTGAGGGAGAAAGAGGTAAGAAAGTTGCGCCCCCCCCCCCTTCCCCATTGAACTCCGCTCGGTGCCACTTCACCTTTGGTACCCAGGTATCTACTGCATTGGGCTTTGGTTCCTTGACAGCGGTGCTGTGATCTAGGGGCTTTGGCGAAGATCAACTTAGCCATTGTTAATGGTTTCCTTGAGTGAAAGTTAACCTTTGTATGGGCGCATAGCAAGTCACACACACACGGAACCCCGACAATCTTGCGTGTTCTTGGGGAAATTGTGAATGACCCAGTACCAAGCATTAGGTTTCTGTATTGAATGCTTGGGAGGTTCATTCCAACATGTCCTAAGAGCAAGCAAGAAAAAGGAATCTTCATCACGGGAGCCAAAAATGCGAAGAAACGTCAAAAGACATCCAAACGCCTCTTGACCTTGGGTTCCAACATGTTTACAAAGGTTTCAACATAAAGGCCTCACTACAACCCAACCAGAAACAAAAACAAAACAAACACCAGAACAACTGCCAAGCACCGCGCCACCCCGGAAAATGCGTCGCCCTTTTTGCCGGGGGGCCCTAGACACGTTGGCGCGGGTCTCGGGTTCGTTGTTCGGGTTTCGGTTGCGGTTTCGGTGCCTGGCACACGGTCTCCGCGAAGGGCAGGCAGGCGTTCAGGGAGCCCAGGAAGGGCACGGCCAGGGTGGTGAGGCCCAGCAGAATGGTGAGGCACGAGATCACCTGGCGGGTGGGGGGAGTGGGGTGGTGGGGGGTGGGGTGGTGTGGGGTGGTGGGGTGGGGTGGTGGGGTGGTATGAGATCACCTCATAGGCGGTTTTGGGGGTTTTGTGGAGTGGGGTGCAGTGGGGTGGAGTGGAGTGGGTGGGGTGGTGTGGTGGGGTGGTAGGGTGGGTTTGCGGGGTTCAAACCACATCAGGGAAGTAGGTTGCATCACCATGGCTTTGAGGGTTGCGCCCAGTTCGGACCTGGAAATGCAAGGTTGACCTTTTGAGGGAACGCGGACCATCTTTGAAAAGGCAAACCAAAACACCCAATACAAAACCAAAAATTGGGCCGTGTCTTTTGGTGCTAGGTTGGGGACAAATGCACTATTAATGAGGGAACTCGGACAACCATCTTTGAAGGGGCAAAACTTTGGGTTCCGTGGCTTTAACCCCTAACAGGGCAAGGAACTGAGAATCAGCGAGCGGCTTTGAAAGCAACCCCGAGAAGGGTACCTGCAAAGGGAACCCCCCCCCCGTTTTAAGGGGAAGCATGGAGTTGTCTTTTCAAATTGCCTCCGAAGTGCGGGGTTTTTCTTTGGGTTTCCCGACTGGGTCAAACGCACTCGTTCATAGGTGCCTTTTTGGGAGGGAGGGTCAACAACATCCACCAACTTGACCCCTTTGGGCGATGCTTCGCACGCTGCAGCGCGTGTCAAGGAAGGGAAAACACCCGTATTTCGGTTTCGCAATTTTGGAAGCACCTCATATTTCGCTTAGGCCCACCCGGTTCTTTTCCCTACCCGTTGTCCCCTTTTAAACCCAGTCCCTGATATCCCAAGACCTCAAACAGCAGGGCCGAAATGGCTGTGGCTCAAAAAAGTGGAATTCCAAAATGGAACCCTGGTAAGTGGAAACATGGACCGGAATCCGCGTAACCCCAGCTATTTAATTTTGAGCCATACCCAAATGACCCCGGACGTCAAACAGAATGGTCTTGGGACCCTCAACAGTGGCCTTCCACGCCCCAAAAGCCGAGCAGCCCGAGCACCCAGGGACTTTCGAGGAGTTCCGACATCCTCCCCCACCCCCTCCCAACCAGCCGGTTCGTAGTGGAAAGAAACCCCAAAAGAGCTCAACTCATAGGGTCCTACCCGCCTAGACCCGAAAAGCACCAGAGCACCCAAGGACTTCCTCCGGCAAAGAAACGAGTCCCTCCGGGTAGAAGAAAGGAGAGCTGTTCTTTTCCCTACCCTCAACACCCCGACCCGAGCAATCCGAGGACTTCCCCAGCAGTTCCCCTTAACAGGGATCCTTACATTATACACCTGAACATTGCAACTTGTAATTCTAACTTTATTTGGGTGTTGAAAAAGAAAACAACATGTTTCACATGGGCAAGCAAAATGGAGATCTTTTCAGGAGCCCTGCTCAACCAGGGCCTTGGCGTAGCTTTCCAGCAGCCCGCAGAGCGGCATCGCCGCCAGGAAGAGCAGAAAGAGCCCGAGGCAAGTGCCACAGAGCGAGGCACCGTACAGGGAGGCGCTAAAGGCGGCCTGCGATCAGGCACGAAAACGGGGGGGGGAAGGGCGAGGGAGGGCGGGTGGTGAGCTAAAGCCCCATGTTTAAGGTATTTTAACATATTTGAAGGGAAAGATATAAGGGATCAACTCAGTTGGATGTCCGCCCCCCTGCCTTCCGTTTTTTGAGACACCAATAGTTCTGGTCTTCAGCTTCCGGGAGTGAGAAATGGGCGTGTCCTTTTTCTCGAGCACCTATAGTTGGTGGTTGTCCCTTTGGTTTCCTTTGAAATCACCAAACAAGACCCAACTGGAATGGCCCCAAACTGAACCATCCTGGTTTTGTTGGGCATCCTTCGGTGGTAGGGGACCTTCAACCATGGATTTGGTAAGGGTAAAGCTAACCTTGTGCTTCCTCCCAGACCATCTAAGTGTGGACAGGGGGCACTGAAGCGATCGCCCAATTTTGGAGGTTCCACAAAGGGTAATGGAGGAACCCCTGACTGAAGAAACCAAACACCTTCAATCCAGGTAAGCCGACCGCTCGATCTCCTTTGTCGAAGAACTGTATAACTTACTTCCTGAATAAAAATGAGCTGCAAAAAAAAGCATTGACTGTTTCTGGCGCTGTGAAGCCCCCACAAGGGACGTGTTGTGCCCTCTCGAGCTTCGCTTTATAGACAACAAGACACGCTCATGGGGCAGATTTTTCTTGCAGGGGAACCCGGGAATTGGAACCTCACAGCTGGTGTTGGAAAACGGGATACAAATCCCTTGATCTAACCTATCAGCTTGGCGCCGAAGGCCGTGCAACTTGGCTACGTGTTTGTGTCATTTGCGCATTAGTATGTTCCAGAATTGGGGGGGAAAAGGGCCTGGGGGGAGAAGGGGGAGCAATGTTACTTTTCCTTTCCAGTTTTCGTCATCAGGCCTAAGCGTGCCAACTCCAGAGAAAACCCACCTCCGAACGCCCCCTGCGGCGCACAAGCCAACCTCTTGCCCTCTGTGGGCGGACCTCATCGAACTGGCCCGTCTGTGTGCAGGCGGCCGCGAGGCCGATGTGTAGAAGCAGACACCGCCGCATCCTTGCCGGCGGGGCGAGAGAGATGCGAACACGGAAACGGGAGTCGAACGAGGCTGGAAACCCGCCTGCCTCCGGGCGTTTCGCCACGAAAACGCGGGTAACCCTTCGGGTGTCTGACCAGGCTTTACATCATATATCATCATGGTTTTTTTTGGATACCTAGGAGGCACTGGCGTCCAGCCCCTTGCCAACCCATACGCTATGGTGTCAAAAACCACCGTTGTTTTGCAGGCCCCTGCTAAAACGAACAGAACCAACATCAACAAACCAAAAAACACGCCGACGACCGTGAAGATCCCCCGCCCCCACAAAGAATCATGCGCAGTGTTGAACCGTGACTGGTTGGGTTACCTTATCAGCACCAGCAGCACCAGCAGCATCAGCAGCATCAGCAGCATCAGCACCGGCACCGGCACCAGCAGTCGCCCAAGACCAAAGAGGAAAGAAACCGAACCCAAAGCCGGGTCGGGGCCACGACCTGGCTAGACCACTTCCCCATTTGCAAGGCTTCCATTTCGGGCCCTATTTTTGAGCCACGCCCAAATAACTTCCTCAAAATCCCTTTCCTGATGGTTCCATGCGCAAATCTGCGACCCAATAGTGGGGCTCAGAACACAACCACTTTCAGGACCCGGTCAAAACATTGACATGTCAACCGTGTCTCAGGTACCCCTCTGCAGGTTGGATTGGTGGTTGGCGAGGAGAACCCCTGGTTCTCGTAGAGGGCAATTGGGAAACTACCCCTTTAGCACCAAACCACCAATCCAAACCGCCAATTCGGGGAAAGCAGAATTTCTTGCTCCAAGTCAACCCATTTTGGCTCCAGAATTCACCCCGGCCAAACAAAGTCAGCTCCCAACACCACCTTCGCACGTCCGGACCCGCAGCTCTCCTCCGGAGTGTGCGCTCCCTCCGGACGTAACTCTCGAGCCAAAAGTCGCAAATAAACCATGTGCTTCCGAGACAGAAACAAACGGAGGCCTCAACGATGTCAGGAAAAAATACTACTCCCTCCCCACCTACGTGAGTGTCTATTTGGCCTTAAGGCCTTTTCACTGTGTGTTTTTCTGTTGGGACCCCCCCCTCCCCCCAACATGGTGGTTTTCCTTCTGGGTTTCCCTTCAAAAACAAAAACAAAAAACGGGGTGCCCAGGAAATTGATCTTCCAGGTACCTTCTCGCTGCCTTCTGCTCACCAAGTTAGGGGCCTCCATGGCTCCCTTCGCGTTTCAGAGGTCGTTGGGTGCTGAAGCTTGGCAGGTGCGGTGCGAACGGTTCTCGCGAGGGTCGTTCTCCTGGAGTGCGCCAGTGTCGACACTTTGTGTTCTGCGCATTCAGCATGCTCCCCACGTGTGTTCTGCGCACGTGCGCGTTCACGGCGACCATCGGCGAACCACGAACTCGAATACCTGCTTGCCCGTCTCCCACGCGTCTCCTGCAGTTGAAAACATCACCCCAGGAAGTTGACCTTAATGAATAGCAACCACACGGCGATGTTTAAAATCCACCGGGAAAGACATCGGGAACCCTGTTCTTATGTTCTTAGGCATTCTCCGTCACACGATTCCATCCGGCGCGTAAACCTGCCGGAAATCCGGACCGCCAAACATCCGGACCGTCCGCATTTCTTGTAAAAGCACAAAACCTGAACGAACCCAGGGAAGCCCAGGGAAGCCCTTCTAGTAGGTAACGCTGGCAAGGCCTTGGTTGCCAAAACCAGGAAAATGGATCCACCGGGTGGATGCCTTCCACGACCTGGAATCCCTCGTTCCCCCTGTAGCTTTGATCCCTCAATCTATGTGGGTTCGTCATTTCTTGAGGATACCCTTTGTGTTGGTGGTGACAATGGAACACCCAAAGCAGAACCGAGGAAGTTTTTGCGGAGTCTTTCCTCCTGGCGATCCGTAGGCATCGCCGGAGCACCTGTGGACTCCAAAGGTCTGCATACGTGGCGATTGGGTCGCTCAGCGCTCAGACGAGCCCAGCCTTTTCCCCACTCTCATCGCTGGAATCGCTGGAATCTGCGGCCTTGCGCTTCTCGATTCGGGAGAATCTCGAGCGGAGAGCGGCCACTTCTTCGCTGCTCGCGGGTTGGGATGGGTGTAAAACCACCCGCAGAATGAAACCAAGGACACTTGAAAGGAGTTTGTTTGTTGATTGATTAGCCAGTTGGCTTGTTGGCTTGTTGGCTGGCTGGCTGGCTGGCTGGCTGGCTGGTTGGTCGGTTGGTCGGTTGGTCGGTTGAATTTAATGAGTTACTTAGTTTGTTCGTCAGGTAGGCAGATGGGTGGGTAGGTAGGCCTAAACAGGGGCTCGGTGCCCTTTCCCCCAACCGCCCCAAGGGGCGCAAAAGGGCCGCCCGCCGTCCCGCGGCTGTTTCAAAGCACCACGAGTAAGACGTAAGACGCGCCCGCCCAACTGGTTTAAAAGCGCCTTGCTGGCGGGCTTGAATTCGCGAAGCGAGCCCTCGAGGCCCGCAAAGTGACAAAGTGCTGGTGGGAAGCCAGCGCCGCATCTCCGAAAACGTCCATCTGCTAAGCACAACGGCACGCGTCAAATGAGGGGACCACAAATTTGGGACTTCATACACCCAAAGAGTACCTTCAGCTGAATCTTGCCAATGGACGCTCAAGCTGTCAGATGATGTGCGCTCTTTTTCGCTCACCGATCCAGGGATAAAACGAGCTCGTCCATGTTTTGGTCCCTTTGAAGATTCGCGGACCCTCAAACTACCCTTCAAAAGAAGTTGCGAGCTAAAAGTGGCTCACGGGGCCAATTTGCAGTGAGAGCTATCATCTGGCGACCCCTTCTTGCCAAAAGGGAAGGCTGGCAACAGTCATTGTTACACTCATAATTCAATTGTATGTTGCTGGGGGATGTGTGATCATAATCATAATCACAATCATAAGCATAATCAGCACCATCACCATCACCATCACCATCATCGTCATCGTCAAAGTCATCGTCATCGTCATCGTCATCACCATCACCGCCACCGCCACCTCCACCTCCACCTCCACCACCACCACCTCATCATCATCATGATCATCATCATCATCATCATCATCATCATCATCATCATCATCATCATCACCATAATCATGCTCATCGTTGTCATTTTCTTCGGTGATGCTGGGAATGCATAGTCATGGTCATCATCATCGCCGTCAGCAGCACGTATTCGGCAAGGTTGTGAAACACAAACCCTGATTAGTACACTTCATCTTTGGGCCTCCCTGTTTGGCCAATAGGACTCCAGCAGGAAAGAAACATTACAGGGCAGCAGCCATGTCTGGGAACCCTCAAAGATTTTAGCATTTGTCCAGAACCCATTGAACCCCGGCAAGGAGTTTCGCCGCTCGCTGCAGCTGCCGAGCTTCTTCCCACCGAAACCGAGCGCCGTCGCATGCCGCGAATTGTCCCAATTCGCGCAGTTTCGAGCCAAACCTGGGGATCGATTTGCCCGGAGTCTTTGGATCGTCTCTGGCGCGATGCGCCTTTGCACTTTGGGCCTCCTAATTTCATCAGAAAACCGGGCAGTTTCCGCAACCTGAACCACCCCAGCGCCCCCAAAACCCGGGCGGATCCAGCGGCTCCCCGGCGCATCCATGGCTTCGGCACATCGATTCGCCTCTCACGAGGGCACCAGACGCCAGATCTCGGGGCCGCCCACCTGACCGAGGCGGTTCCCGCGCGGCGGCTGATTCGGGTTTGATCACAAAATGGGTTGCCCTGGTAGAAATTGGAAACAAAGACATTCAACAGTCCAATTGATGGTAAATATCCCTCCCAACCCCCCACGCCTCCCCCCCCCCATGCAAACTTAGAGTTTATGTTGCAGCCTGGAACCCGAAAAGCCAATGCCCGAAATGAAGAAGGTTGTAAAATAGACCCCCCTCCTCCACCTCCTCGCCCCCCTCCTCCGACCCCAGCTTCCCCCGCCTCCCCCACACCTCCCCTCTTTTCGATTGTTCAACCGAAAAAAGCTTGCCCCTCCACCCCACCCCCCACCCCACCCCACACCTCCACACCCCCGCGCGCCTGCCCCCCGCGGTTGGTATCCGCCGCGGCGGCCAGCAGAAAGCCCTGGCCCTCCGCCAGCTGGCACATGCCCGGCACCCACCACCGTCCCGAGGGCAGCACCCAGCGCCCCACCTGGGAAGGAGAGAAGAAGAGAAGAAGGGAAGCTGTTTGTTGTTTTCTTTATGTGACTGTTTCTGTTTGTTTTTGTTTGTTCTTTTTGTTTTGGAAGAAGGGGAGTTGGTTTCTTTATGGTTTCATTGTTTTTGCTTTTTTTGGAAGGAGGGGCGTGGTATTCTCTTGGTGTCCTCTTTTTGTGTTTGTTTGTTTTTGTTGTTTTTGTTGTTTTGTTTTTTTTGGGGGGGGGGGGGATGTTACAGAAAGCTTTTATTTGTTTTCTTTGGATGGAGGGGAAATGAGAAGAAGGGGGGAAGGAGGAGGGATGGCAGCAGGTTATTGTCGTTTTTTTGCTTTTTGTTGAGGGGGGGGGGGGGGGCGGGTTACGGAAGGTGCGTGTTTTTGCGTTCTTCTTCTTCCTCCTTCTTCTTCTGCTTCTTTTTTCATGTTTCTTTCTTTCTTTCATTCCTTTGTTTGGGGGGTTGACTTCTTGGGGGCTGGAGGGGGTGTCATTTTCGTCAAGGACCCAAGATATGGCCAGCCAAAGATATGACCCAACCAAGTGGCAGGACAGCCATCTCCATCCTAAGTGTCCGTTAAAAATCGGAGACCCAAATTGGTCAGGGGTCACCGGATTTCCCCGGCTGCCTGTGGCTTCTATTGAAACGATGGCCACTTGTGGAGGTTCCAGAACCGGAAGGTTCCAAAAAGGGAATGGAGTAGTGTCATTGTTGATCTATTTTCTTATGTAGCTTATTATTACTATTTTTTTTTGGGGGGGGGGAATTGTGACCTCGTATTTTTTTTGCGGGGGGCAGGAGGTGGCGGTGGTTTTTGTGCTGTCGCTGGGGCTCTTCGGCCTCCGGCGCATGAGTAGACGGGATATTTGACCAGACCTCGTGCTGGTGAAACCCTGCCATTTTTTCTTAGAAGCATTGCTCACATGGTCATGAGGTAAATTGGCTAAAACGTGCCCCACAATGTTGCCCCTGGGATAAACAGACAAATGGATCAATGAAGAAATGAGCAGACAAATAAATCAACTAACAACCATACACAAGAATGTTTCATTTATTTTCTCCTCAAGTGTTCGATTTGGTTGGGCCCTTAGAGTACCGGGTCCATTGAAGTGATCCTGAAACATCACCAACTAAGCGGATGCCAAGGGAAGGGACACCCTGTAAATTCTCTGGTTGGTTGCATCCTCAAAAATCGACCACCTTAAAATCGGTGGATGCCACAAAATATTGAAAGTATAGGGAAGGAAAACCCATGTATCTGGTCGGTTGGTTCACCCTACGCCATCTTAGCATCCGCACCATTTTTTGAGCTCCGACATCCAAGTGGCATCAGAAGAGACTCGAATCTACATCGTTTTGTTAGGAACCGCGCAAGAATGAAAGATTTGGTTGAGAACGGTCCCCGCAAAACCTGAAGGCTCTACAAATAACTCCCAAAGTGTGGATCCCCAACTAAAGGGCCTACATCGACAAAAACACATTTTATCAAACCCGAACTAGTGAGATCGAAACTATGGCAGCCAAAATGCATCCACTTTAAGGCGACTTGCCCGAAGACCCAAGCATCTACTTCTTGTTTCCCCAATAATTCTATCTCGACAAACACCAATAGGACACACCCTTTTCTCACGACACACCTTCGGGTGTCCGCTATAAAGATCCCCTGTACACCCAAACCTTTGGAGCATTTCCGCTGACCTGGTATTCTTGTTGGGAAGGTTCGGTTGTGCAATTGTACAGAAGAATCATTCATATGTACATATGTAGTAATTCATGTACTTTTTGACTTGTCTGTTTCTATATCCACATTTCTTTGCTGAAACAAACAGGGACTCGACCCACTGCGCCCATGTCATCCCGTTTCCCGCCTCGGAGCCCTTGTCCAGGTCTAGCGCGCGCACCTCTGCATGGCCCTCCGTGTGGGTCTCCAGCAGCCAGAAGAAGCCTCGGACCGGGGTACGGACCGTTTTGCCTTGTTTTCCGTGGAGGAACGGACTATTTATGGACCTTTCCTTTGCGGAAAACACGGCAAACCGTTGAACAACCCGTTGCAACCCGTTGAAAAACAAAACCCACGGGCTGGTTCTCCGTAAAGGAAAGGACTCATGGAAGGAAACCCGGTGAAAGACTGAAGAAGCCTGGCCGGACAACATGTACAGGTGCAAGGAAACAGCAAAAAAGAAAGAATTTATGAACAGGGCAAGAAACGGCTGTGGGTTAAAAATAGGTACCCCAAATGGAACACTGGCAAGTGCAAACATGGACCAAAACCTGTGGTCCCCTGGTGGTTGAATTTTGACCCATACCCAAACAGAATAAGTAATAAGGTCAGGGACACTGTGAGTGAAAAACTCACACGGAAAGGAAAACGGGCAAGTTCAAGGAAAGAAAAAGTAGTAGAAAAAGAAAGGGTACAGCAACAGTAAAAAGGGATGTGCTACAAAAGAACAGGTATAGGTGAAGCACAAGCAAACGGTTTCGGGAAAGTGAACAAGGCTGAAAGTTGGAAAAAGTAGCAGTTGACAACCAGTACCCACGTCAAGATAGTTGGGGACACATACAACAAGAACGCCAAGGGTATCAAACAATGATCATGTCACATCATTTCAGGACCCCCCAAAGAACAAAAAGCAACCGGCTGTGCCAAACCCCGTGACACAATGACTGTCTTAGGATATGCACGCAGTTCAGGCCACATCTTCTTGTTGAGTGTTCCCTTCCTTTGTGGGGTAAACCAAGAAAAAGAACAGTCAAAGGTCCCCTAAAAACAGACGCATCCATGCAAAACACCCAGCGCCAAAAGAACATCTGGCTGTGGGTCAAAACCAATGGTACCATTTTGGGGTAGGTGCACCACCCATCTTAGCCGATTTTAGTGGGGATTGGGATGTTCACCAGGGGTACGATTTGGATTTTGACCCATGGCCATCTGCCAAAGCGGCCCCGGCTGTCCCGGGCCATGGCGATGATCTTCTGGCTGGAGGCCTGCCCAAAGGACACCCGGCTCACTTCCCATCGGGTGGATTGGCCCATCCGAAAAAAGGTATCCAAACTTTTTAGGAAACGTTCTGTGGGGCCAAACAAACGTTTAGGAAACTGTTTGTGGGCCCAAAGAAAAAACACGAACTTTGTGTGAAGCCGCTAAAATAGTCCGAAGCCAAAACGGGACTAAAGTGCTGATACTCGGGGAGTGAGAAGGGGAAATTACCCCGCCTGGTTCGTGTGCAGATGTTCAATTGGGTGACTTGCTGGGGGGGAAATGGTTTCATTCGGGGGGCGATCGCCAAAACGATGAAAAATCAATCGTGTTCGCGCATGTGTCACCCAGAGAAGGCAATCTGAGCTGATTTTAGACTAAATGAGTTTGCTCAGTAGTGGAACCCGGTTCAAGATTGAAGATCAACCGTTTCTACCTTCAAGTCGACCCTTGGAGTGATCACAAAAAATGGGACCCTGGGTAGTGGGGGGAAGGGCGAGGGGCTGGTGGTGGACACTTGGGCACTTGTCCGTAGTGGCCCCCATCTTCAGGGTGTTTGATTTTTAGTTGGGGTCTGTGCATGGCACAGGGTGCTCTGTCTGTGAGACCAAAGGGGGTTTGTCCTATGTCAAGCGCCCCAACAAAGCCCCCCCAACCCAATGCGAGTTTAGAACTAGTAAGATCTAGGGGCTACTAAAGCCTAAAAGCTGGGCGGCTTTTTTGGGGGGTGCATGTTCGGCCACTGACAGCAGTGGAAATGTGCTTGCTTGGACAAGGGGGATGCCGAACTTCCCGGTCCTTCGGTTTGCCTTCAGACCGACACCAGAAGGTACAACACCAACCGCCAACTCCAAAAACACAGCTTCTGGAGTATGGAATGCAGCCGCACAAATGGGTCATGGATTAAGCATCAGGCCTCCAAAAACACGACCAAACACACTGGAACACCCAAAAATCCCCCCCAAACCAAAAAACGGAAGAAAAAGGGGGAAAAATATGCTCGGGCAATATCCCCAACAGCACCACACCCTCCCAGAATCCTCGCGGAACGCCCCGGGACCATCCGTACCGCCGGTGTTGCTGAGGATGCCGCCTTGTAAAGCAAAGCTACGAGTGACAGCGCAATCTCGCCCTGATCGGGGCCCGACGGCGCAATCGGGGCCCGAGGCCCGACGGCGCAATCGGGGCCCGATCGGGGCCCGACAGTGCAATCGGGGCCCGATCGGGGCCCGACGGTGCAATCGGGCCCCGATCGTCCCGTGGTGCAACCCCAGCCACCCATGTTATAGCTCAACGCCGGTTTTCCTTAGCATGTGCAACTGTATCTATAGCAAAAGTAGGCGATGCCAGCTTGGTACAATTGACGGGGCCCAACGGCGCAATCGGGGCCCGATCGGGACGGCGCAATCGGGGCCCGATCGGGGCCCGACGGTGCAATCGGGGCCCGATCGGGGCCGGACGGTGCAATCGGGCCCCGATCGTCCCGTGGTGCAACCCCAGCCACCCATATTATAGCTCAACGCCGGTTTTCCTTAGTATGCGGATTGCAACTGTGTCTATAGCAAAACTAGGCGATGCCAGCTTGGTACAATTGACGGGGCCCGACTGAGTCGGGCCCCGATCGGGGCGCGATGGCGCAATCGGGGGCCGGATCAAACCCTGCAATCTCACGCAACTTTCGTGGGGCTCAGCGTGAAACTTTGCTGGAACCTTTCCTCAGGGCTGCCCCATAGCTTTTGCAGAATTTGGTGGAAACCTTCTGACCTCATAGCCCTCGCAGCCTCGTGGAATTCTGGGAACCCAAAGCCCACCAAGCAGCAATGCCAAGCATTTACTCTGCTGCACCGTGAGTTCCGCAGCGACGTGATCTGATTTGCCACAAAGCCAACATTTGCCTGAGCAAGTGAGCAAGTCACAAAACAGTGAAAGTGTGCTAAAAACCATTGACCTCGGTTTTGCTTAGTGTTCCGCCCATGAGCAAAGCGATCTTGATCCGATGGCTTTTCAGAGGACGCGCGCACGAGGAATCCTTGCAGAGCTTTGTGGAACCCTGTGAAACCTCAAGGGCCACAGCCCTCGCAGAATCTTGTGGAACCCTGGAACCCTGGTGAAACCCTGGTGGAACCCTCGTGGAACCTTCCCGGACCACGCCGCGCCCTCGAAGAAATTGGTGGAACCCTGGTGGAACCCTCGTCCGGAGCACAACGGGCTGGTGGAACCCTGGTGGCAACCTGGTGGAACCCTCGTGGAACCTTACCTCAAACCACCTCGGACCACCCTGCAGCCCTCGCAGAACCTGGTGAAACCCTGCTGGCAGAATTCTGGTGGAACCCTCGTGGAACCTTCCTCAAACCAGACCACCCCAGCCCTGGAACCCTGGTGGAACCCTCGTGGAACCTGACCTCAAACCACCCCGGACCACCCTACCGTGGAACCCTGGCGGAACCCTCGTGAAACCTTCCTCAAACCCGCAGCCTTCGAAGAAATTGGTGGAACCCTGGTGGAACCCTCGTGGAACCTTACCTCAAACCACCCCAGACCACCCCGCCCTTGCAGAACCTGGTGGAACCCTGGTGGAACCTTTGGTGGAACCCTGGTGGAACCTTTGGTGGAACCCTGGTGGAACCTTAGCTCAGGGTCGCCCCGAACCACCCCGGAGCCTATCTGGGCTGAGACCCCAAAGCTTTCAGCTGTTGGGAAAAAAAGAAAAGGAAGCACAACAACACAAAAACACACACACACACACACACACACACACACACACACACACACACACACACACACACACACACACACACACACAAAAAAAAAAAAAAACACACACACACACAGCCACCTCCCTTTCTTTCCTTCACCCCCGCTGCCGGAAAAAATCATGCTTCTTCTTTTTTTCGGGGCGCCTTGGCGGTGCCGGTGTGGGAGTCCACCACTTCCGTCACCTCCTTGGCTGCCTTCCGGCGCCTCCGAAGCGGCGGTCGCTGAAGGCTTCGGGGCTTCGGGACTTGCCCAAAGGATGGAGGGGTGGCTGGCGATACTCATGGGGGCTGGGGGGGAGGGAGGGGAGGGGGGAGCCCAAATAAGCCCCAAATTTAAGCTTGTAAGGGCTTATTTGGGGCTTATTGGGCCTCCCTCCCCCCCAGCCCCCATGAAATACTAAGGGGATGGCCGGGATCCACCAAGATGTGTGGCCATGTAAAGTTGACATCCTGCTGTGGATGGTTGAAATCGAAATCCATTTCGCACCGCCGTTCAGAAAGCCTGGAAGGATGAGTCTTTCCTGAAAATACCAAACAAACAAATGGCTTCACATGGAAAGTGGTGCAGGATTTTGTCCGCCGTAGTAGGGAAAGCGTCCATGTCCATTCCAGGGATGCTTCTTTCTAGAAAACCCCAGAAAGAAAAGCTTCGGAAAACGGCCAAGGGAAGGGTCTCAATCATGCTGTGGATGGACAAACAGGGTTCATGCATGGCCAAGGGTTTCCCCTAATCATTGTCAAACACCCTCCAATCATTGGGTGTGTCCTTCAAAAAGAGGAGGTGTCCTTTAGGAAACCAGCCCCAAAAAAGATGGGTGTGTGTGTGTGTGTCAAAAACGGTGCTTGGACGGGTTATACGCCGTATAGGCTTAATCATGGGTGTCCTCCAATCATTCATGGAATCTGAGGGTCGGAGGGTGTTGGAAGACTACTTTCCTTTTGAGGAAGACCCCAATCGTCCACTTTCATGATTGTTGGATAGAGGGTAGGTGTCCTTTTGGTTTCCTTCGAAACCAAAAGAAAACAGGGTAGCCTGAAAAAGAAGACGTGGTGTCGATTGGTGGTTTGGATATGGACTCCAAGACCCTTTTGTGGACATCGGAATTAGGCGACGATGTATTGTCCGCCAACCACTTTTTCCTAGGGTTCACCCCCCATCAATTTGGATGATGAAACTCCTTAGGTAAATAATGGTGGCTCTATTAACCCCCTTTGTTTTTATGGTGGTTTGAAACCCAGGGTTTTGAGGGGGTTCCAAATTAAGAATCATAACCAGCTTGCCCCCCATTTGTGGTTTCGATTGGCGGTTTGGACTTGCATTTGAACTCCTTCTTTTGGGAAAACCGAACCATCTCCCTGAAGGTTGTCAAATTTAAGAGCCAGCCCGTTTAACGGTCGCCCTTTTAAAAGGTAGGCAGCGGTCCGCAAAGGTTTTTCGGGGACATTGGCACCCCTCCCCCTTGCTCGTCTGCAAAGTAGTCTGGAATCCAAAACACCGAGCAAAACACAACTGTTTCAGGAATCTTCTTTTGCGGACCGAAATCCCCAGCTGGATTTGGGTGCCTCTTTATGTTGATACCCGTTTTGAGTGTGTGTTGAACGGGAAACCAACACCAAAGCCATTGTGGAGGGTTCCATGCCCATTTCTGTCACCCAAACGCAACCATACGCCAACTGCACACCAAGCAGCGTGAGTAGAAGGCAGACACCACAAAAGAGGGAGCTTCAGCTTGGTTTCTTCCCCCCTTCCCGCTTGGGATCCAGCGGCTGCAAGAATATCACCTGAAGGGAAAACCTGCAGCTTTTGGAAGCAAAGAAAGGCGGCGGTTTTGCCTTTTTTGTTCTGGCATCCATCCACTGCACACGCAAACTCTCCAGCATGGTGGCAGGCCCAAAAGAAACAACTGCCAAACAAATCGAAGACAAAACAAAAAGAAGAAGAAAAAAGGAAAGAACAAAAACGAACGGAAGACAAAACACAAGTCAATCAAAGCCAGGGCTCCGTTTTTTGTGACTCCCCCACAGGCTGCAGACTGCAACCGTGGCTGATGTCCAAAAGGCCGAAACCTGTGGGTGGAAGTCTACTAGGGCCTTTGACTACCCCAAGGCAGACTGAACCCCAGGCCGTGGCTCGGTTTCCCCAGAAGGGACATGGCCATGGGTCAAAATCCAGTACAGTGAACATCCCAATCCCCACTAAAATCCCGACTAAAATGGGCGGTGCATCTACCCCCAAATGGCACCATTGGTTTTGACCCGCAGCCACATGTCTTGGCTTCAGTTTATCTCGTCGTCCCAAAATGGGACGACCCAACCCCAAGGCTCGGGCCTCAGGGAGATGACCATGTGCAGTGGGTGCAGCTCCCCGCGGAAGGTGGGGCACAAGGTCACCACCTGAAAAAAGTATCTGGGACTCTGAACTTGTTGAGAGGCTGCCCCTTGTTGGGGTTGTTTAAGGATGAACCTGCACTTTCAAGCGGACGACCGTGTTCCTACAACATCATGAACAAGGCAAATATTCCAACTTGATGGAGAGAGGCTGCAAAGAAACGAGTCGTTTTGTTTGAGGGTTCCTTTGTCCCCCAAAAAACAAGTTGCTTATTTTAGGACAGCTTTTTTTGGGGAGTGCCTCAAAAAAGTATTTGGGGCTCTGAACTTGTTTGAGAGGCTACCCTTGCTGGGCTTGTTGAGTTCTATGGTACCTGTGTCCCGGAAAAAAGGTGCTTTTTTGTTTCAGAATACCTTTTTTTTTGGGGGGGGGGATGAACATGGCAAATATTCCAATGGTGGCTGCGAAACATCGATCTGAAGTGTCCACATGGGAGAGGTGGGGAAGGCAAAGTTGTCCCGAGAGGGGCAACACGTGAAGGCGTGGCCGTCAAACAGGTCTTTGTGAGGGAAATGGCTGGTGCTGGCATTGCAATGGCGCAGTTGATTTGAACACCCCTTGGGCGTCCCAGGTTTCCCTACATGTCCCCTTTGCCCCTTCAATTTTCTCACCCGGCCAAAAGGGAATCGCTTCCCATGGAATCGCTGCCAGTTTCTGAGGACTTCAGGTTGGTTTCAAGGGAAGCAAGAAGCCGAGGCCAAAATCGCCGCGAGCAACATGGACGTCTGCCAAAAGCGGCGGTCAGTAAAACTTAGGCGCAAGTCCTGGAAAGTCTTCGAACTACTTCACGACTTGCAGTTCTAACCATGGTTGGCACCAGCTTTTTCACCATGGTTCTCACCTACCTGGTTGAGCATCCAAGTACCTTCCCACCAACTAACATGGAAGTGCAAAAAGGCCCTTTCCAAGCGGAAAGTCGTCTTTCTCCAGAAAATCTGTGCACAAACCCATGGAATCGCTGGTGGGAGGGTGCCAGCCAGCACCTCCAACCCAACCCATTCCAAGCCCCCCTACCCGCCCAGAAGCACCTAACCATGGCTATCACCTACCTGATTCAGCCGGCACCTCCAACCCAACCCCTACCAACCCCCCGAACCCCCCTCCCCACTCGCCACTCCCCGCCCTCCCCGCAGGGAGAAGGCTGCGGCGCTTCGGCGCCTGCCCGGAGTCCGTGGCCGCGAAGAGCAGCCAGCCGTGGTCCACGAAGCCCGCGCCCCCGGAGCTGCACTCGGCCGCCTCCGCGCCCTCCACCGCCTGGATGGCCTTGGGCTGCCGTCGCCGGCGGGGACGGACGTGGCAAGAGACCAGGCCCCCGTCAAAACACCGAAGCCCTCCAGTTGCGTTTGTTTGTCCCCTGGAAACAATATATATATATATGTATATATATATATGGCCAGTAGTGAAATCGATTCCCTTTGAAACCAACAGGGGACAAGAAAAGATATTCTTAACCAAATGGAAGTTGCAAGCGGTGCGAAATCGGCAGGGAAGGAGTTGCAATGTTTCGTTTTTTGGGATTCTCTGAAAGGAAACCACCAGTTGGAGAGTTGCGATAGGCAGGGAATGAGTTGGAATTCACCGTTTTCTGGGATTCCCCTGTTTGGAAACCACCAGTTGGAGAGTTGGATGGTTTTTCTTGGGGTCATGAGCCATGTCTCATTCCCCGATTTCGCGCCGATCGGAAAAAGCGAACAAGAAATCAGCCCGGCAAAGGCCGGTATCCCAACAGCCGGCCGCTCCAAAACAACGAGCTTGGGGGGAACAAAAAAGAAGCTCTGGTGGCAAAATGGCTACCCCAAGACACCCCGCAAGCTTGCCGGCCTTAAAATGGCGGCCTAAGAAACCAGGCAACAAGCGAGCCCCCCCATTTTTGAGCCAGACCCATTTGGCCTTAGAAAGCCGCGGCAAACAGAGAGAGAGAGAGAGAGAGAGAGAGTGTGCCGTTTTGACCCGAGACGTGGCTTCCGGAACCCACTCGGTCGCATCTCAGCTCCAAGTGAGGCGATTATCTCCGCAGTATTTGCTATTCCGAAACTTGAAATCCGCCGACCGCCGACCCCTTCTCCGAAAAGGGGAGGCGCACGGGAGTGGTTACAAGTCCAAGGCTGGTTGGTAAATCGGAATTCGTTCCGTCGTAAATCTTTACAGCTAAAAGCTGCCAACCTGTTCGCCCGTTTAAGGTTTCAAACCTGAAATGAAAATTGGAGATGCACAAGCATAGCTCGCCCTTGGACACCTCTGCACTAATGCCCAAGCTCAAAGATTCTGGGATCAATCAACCTGGTGGGTTGAGGGATTCCTGCAAAAATGTTGGCTTGCCCTCTGAAACTGCTGCCACCGTTCGCAAAATCCGCAGGTTCTACTCCGACTGAGTGGATACCCCCAAGCCACTTAGGGCAGTGCGTTCAATTTAACTCATGACCGTGTCAAGTGAATCAGCTCTTCGGCGAATCCTTGCCACCCCCGCCACCCCGCCACCCACCCGCCACCCACCACCACCCAAACAAATACTTCTACTTCTATTTTCTTTCCAGACCTTGGCATGTGAGTAAAGACAAAACCGACTGGTTTCTTCCAGCCCACTGAACATGAACAGAACCAAACATACCAAAAACATGACAAAAAGACACACGCCGAGAACAGAATCTTTGCCACCCCTCCCCTCCCTCCGTGTTCCTGTAGTTTCCAATTAAATCCCACCATCTTTATTGTTAACGTTTTAATATAGCATAGATGTCCAAACACAACCAATAGGAAAGACATCCAGAAATGATATGAAGACTGACCAAGAGAAACACACAACAAGACAGAAGCCAGAAAAAGGCATTGATAGTGGGGTACCCACTTAATCAATAAAATTCAAAACAAAACAACAAACAAAAACAACTGAGAAAAACAACAAGGAAACAAAAAAGAAGAAGAAGAAAAAGGGAGAGGAAAAAAAGGAAAACAAAAACAAGTGAGAAAAACAAGGAAACAAAAAAGAAGAAGAAAAAGGGGGAAAGGAAAAACCAATGAAAAAGAACAAGTGAGAAAAAACAAGGAAACAGAAAAGAATAATAGTAAAAAGCGAAAATAATACAAACAAAAATGCAAACCCAACTCCATTTCTCCGCTTCAGCGGATCTCCGAAGGATGCGGCGCCTCCAGGCGCTTGTGGGGCAGCGTGCGGCTCAAGGCCCAGGTCTTCACGTACTTGTGGCTCCGCAAGGAGTGCTCCGCCACGAAGGTGCCGTCCTCGACGCGCGAAAGGTGCCGTGCTCGACTTGAGAAAGAAAAAAAAAAACGAGCCCAAACCACAGCACATCTACTTGAAGGGTGTGTCTGCTTTAGGGCTGGCTCGGCTTTTTTTGGGGGGGAAACCAGGGGTGTGTCTGTTTTAGGGCTGGCTCGGCTTTTTTTGGGGGGGAAACCAGGGGTGTGTCTGTTTTAGGGCTGGCTCGGCTTTTTGGCGGGGGGAAACCAGGGGTGTGTCTGCTTTAGGGCTGGCTCGGCTTTTTGGCGGGGGGAAACCATGGGTGTGCCTGCTTTAGGGCTGGCTCGGCTTTTTTTTGGGGCGGGGAAACCAGGGGCGTGCCTGCTTTGGGGCTGGCTCGGCTTGTTTTTGGGGGGAAACCAGGGGTGCCACTACCGGGGATGGGCGGTATGCATTTCACACCACGAAATGAAACCATGGTTAAACCATTGTTTGCTGGAATTGACAGGATATCGCATCATTCCAGGGTTTCTTAGGTGGTGCAGGAATTCGTCCATCTACATGCAGTATGGTACTTGAAGCGAGTCGCAATCCTTAAACTTGAAGTGAGTCACAAGTGCTTGACAATGTTCTGCCCAAATCCGTGTTCCAGAAGTTAAAAGGCGGATAGCCGCAGTGATATCCGCATCGATTTCTGGCGTAACCTTCATCTACCCTGGTTTTGAGCAAGTAGCTCAAGTTTTGTTGGCTCAAAACGCGTGGAGGATTGTTGGGTGAGGGTGGAGCAAGGGCTCAGAGTCATGTCGCAGCACACCCGCAGCGTAGCCGACAAGTTCAAGTTCGCAAAGACGAAAGAGAACAAATAGACGAAACACCAGCAACGCAAGAAGAGCAAAGCTAAGGCAAGGCAAAGCAAGGGCAGGGCAAGGAAAGGCAAAGACAGGGCAAGGCAAACAATCAAGCAAACAAAGAATCGGGCAAACCAAAACAAAACAACAGGACGGACAAACAAACAACAAGTGAAGAAACGAACCGCCGAGCACAAAAGAGGAAACACAGACATCAAAAACAGCAACAAAACAAAAGAGCCCTAAAACTCAGTTGCCCAAAGGACCTGGAACTAAAAGGCTAACCTTTGGGGTCATACATATGGACCAAAATGGGAAACCAGAAGGTCAAAAGGTCGGCTGCGAGCAACTCGGAAAAAGAAAACGCTCCCAGCTGACCCTTATCCACTCCTGGGAGAGCAGCAAGACCTTGCCCTTCTTCTGCAGAAACCCGAAGCTCTTCCTAGGAGGGATCTCGATCCACATCCAAAGTGGGGGGGGGGGGGTGTTGTTGTGGGCACATGGAAAATCATGTGCGTGTGTCTCAATCTAAAAACCCCAAAATGGGCCTCCGTCTGGCTTCCCCTTTACCCCAAAACGGGTCTGACATCCGTTGTGAGAAACCATATCTCAGTTGTCCAGTTCGGACCTGGAAATAGAAGGTGATCACCTTTTGGGACCATGACTAAAAATGGGAACCCAAAACGAGGTTAAACCCAAAGGTCAAAAGGTCGATTCGCTTTGGGCAACTGAGAAACTGGGAGCATTTCCACAACTAGTCGGGGCTCGGGAAAGCAACCCACACGCTTCAGCAACCGCTCCATCCTTTCGACCTTGAGAAACACCCGGAGACCCTGGAAAAAGCAGCTGGGAACTCCGCGTTTTAGTGGGGGATGCCTCACTTTTGGAGGGGGCCCCCTGCCCCCATTGATTGGGCTGTCCTCAGTTCCCCTGCAAAGAGTCTAGCGTGTCAACTAAATTTCTGAAAATTCAAGGAACCGGACGGCTGGGAACCACGGGACGTGCTCTACTTAGATCCGGGGTCCACATGACTTTCCAACCCTTGGTAAACGCTGCTTTTTTGCAGCCCCCACCAGAAATGAGCAGAACCCCAACAACAGCTTTAAGAAACAATATAGACCTACCAACCGCCCGTGAACATGAATTCCAACCAGCTAACAAAAACCAAGAATAAGGTGAAGCCGAACTTTCGGATCCATGGTCTGAACTCCAGCCAACCAAAAAAAAGCACAAACCACCTGCCAATCCCGCCGTGAAGAAGACATGACTCCCGGGCGAAATCTCGGATCGCTCGGAAGAAATCGAAGCCGGATCCAACCCATAGTATGGTAGCCAAAAGAAAAAACACCAAAACCCAAAGACCTGCCAACGGCAGTGATCGGACGAATCCTGCCGACATCGGATCAATCGGAGTGTCCAGGCCATGTTCAGGTCCGTGGTGAGGATCTGAGGCTCCAGGGTGATGGTGCGCAGGGGCTTGGTGCTCAGGATCTCCTCCTGCGGCGCTTTGCTTCCGGCGGAAACCGCAACCCGTGGACGAGGGACCGGCTTGCCCCCCCCCCAAAAAAACAAGACCACGGAGTGCTCCTCTGTGTGTCCTTAAAAGGATTAAATTACTCGGATGTGTAATGCTTGAAGTGTGCTTGAAGTTCACTAAAAAGACCACGCTATCCTCCTCTGGGTTATGCTTGGGCCCTGAAACGGATTAAATTACTTGGACCCCAAGCCAAATAGAGCTTGAAGTGCACTCAAAAGACCACGGTGTCCTCCTCTGGGTTAGCTTGGGCCCTTAACAATGATGCGGTAGTCCTCCTGCAATTTTGTTTGAACGTTTACTTGGAACCCATAGGCCGCTAACTCTCAGCTTCCTACTTGGTTTGGAGCCCGGCTTTGGACCTCAGTGGGTCTTTCGAAAGGAACTGGGGTTCAAATCCCAAACGAATCAAGCCCAACCACCAATGGGGTAGCTGAAACTAGGGGCTTCCAACAAAAAAAAAAACAACGTGTCCTCCTTTGGGTTAGGTTGGGTCCTCATGATGTGTTGCTGTTTGGCTGTTTCTTTACCTGGGTTCGGAATTGGGTGATTCAACTGTCTAAACCTTTGGTTACCGGTTTGTCTCCTAGGCAATCTCCCAAGGGCTTTCGGAGTGCAAACCACTTGTTTTGCAGAAGTATGGATCACATCCAGTGGTAAGTAATCCCCAGAAAATGCTAAAAAAGACGTCAAGGGAATGCGGACATGTACTTGCTTTTGGTGGGTGTGGTTAAAGAAAGACTTCCAAGACAAGAAAAGCCGAATCACTTGCTTGCTTCGCTTCCTGGTTCTCAGCAGGGAATGAGGAAATGACCCGTATAAACCATCCCCTATGGTTTTCTTTGAGGGAATCCCTAGGATCATTCCCATTCCCTACTGAGGACCAGCAAGTCTCAGGGCATTGGGGAATGACCCTACCCTTGCTGCCGGATTTGGTTGGGAGGTTCACAATGCTCCAGTAAAATCATCCGAAATGACAGACCTGCACGAGCAAATAATGGAAAACAGGATGAATGCATAAGCAAAGGTGGCCTTTTGGTAAAAAATCCACAGGTTCCCCTGGTACATGGGGCATGGAAATTGAAGCACAAACCCAAGCGCCAAAAGCCCCTCTGAAGCAAGTCCCTGAAACCAATTCAAACCAGGTGAATCCAGCGATTTCTACCCAAACACGCCGGAAAAGGACCCCTATGCCCAGAAGAAAAAAACGACAACACAAATCCTCGCAAGGCCATAGGCCGATGGGCCATACCTCCTTTTGGGTGTCCCACAGCCACGCTTGTGTGTGAGTTGCGACCAATGAAGACGTGCCTCGTCTTTTCTTAGGGCACCGGGACCCCAAAATGGTGGAGCTCTTGCAAACCACACCAAAAAGGAAGAAGGGGTAGCCTCAAAACAAGACCCCCCCCCCCCGTGTCCACGAGAACTCCGGCTGTGAAATGCCATGACTGATGTCAAATCTTGAGGCAAAGTTTTGACATTCCACTTTCCGGAGCTGCTGAGGGCGTGCGCGGAAAAGGAACGAACGCATCATTGCAGAGTGACCCAAAACTCTGACACCTCGTCTCTGCACCTGCAAGCTGAAAAAAAGATGACTTCAAGCCTCCTTTCCCCTTCGCGATCAATCGAAACAACTCGGTCACTCGTTTCCAATCTGGTCACTTGCAACCTCCAACTCGAAATGTACCCGCCCACCCCACCCTGCCCACCGGGCTGTGCAGGCCGCCCGCCGCACCCCAAGCGCGACGGACAAAACGATTCACGACCTGCGCGACTGGACGCTCCTGGCGCTCCTGTATGGAGTCCTGGCATGGGCAGTTGCTCAAATCTTGACGCCGGATAGAAACAAAACGCCGGTCCCCTAGAGAGGGGAAGTCGGGGGGGGGGGGGGGGGTGAGCGGGACCCAAGTCCATTTGTCTATTCCCCAAACAAGAGACAAACAGGAAATTCCAGGGGTCACCCCCACCGCCCTCCCCCAATTTCCAGTTTAAAGCGGGTGGGGATTCGTCAACCAGGGTTTAACTCAGACCCAGGTTGCAAGTGAACAACCTCAAAACTCCGCACAGTTGCGGCAAACTGAATCATTCCTCGTGTCGAAACTGCCTGAAGAAGCTTGCCAGATGCATTGAGGGCATTTCTGAACCAAAAGAGCTGTTGTACCTGTTGTACCCCAACTGATCAAACCCACCCCTTCTTCAAGTGCCTTTTGATTCTTGCAGGGGGCAGAACTTGCAACATGGAACCTGGAAAACCCGTCCAGGTTTAGAGGAATGTTGGGGGCCCCCGGCTCCTTTTGTCCGATTCCGTAATAGTATGCGGCTGACACGGTTTGTAGACCAGCTTTATTTAGCCTCCTCCATGCTTTCAGTTCCATGGCATGGTTTGGTTGCAACTGAAAATCGCGAGGGCCCCTTGCCCAAGGAAAACCTGGGAAAACTATCAGACAGTCTTTTGGGTGAGTGGTCATTTGGGTTCCCTTTTTCTGGCGACCCAATCGGATGCAAAGCGGCACATGCCCGGGTTCAAGCAAGCGGAACCCATTTATCTGAGGACCTTTTGGAATTTCGATGGTAATGAACCCTTTGAGATCCCCATTTGGAACGGACGTTTTTTTTCTCGGGGTTCCAACTCATTCCCTTCGAAGCGATCGCACGCCCGGACAAACGTCGAATCGATCTTCTCGATCTTCCCGCTCAGCGCGCGCCTCCACGTCGTGGAGCCCGATCAAGTCGAGGTCCGCGCCGTAGATGGCGAACTGATCCCCCAGCATCAGGCGGCTGTCCTTCCGTCAAATCTCTCGGCCCACAAACCCCCTGAGGAACTGGGACCCACCCCCCCCTGACGACGGGTTTTTGGAGAGAAGCCAACAGAGAGGCGCCCATTTCACAGGGGTTCACTAGATGCTCCGTGTAAAACGTCACACAAGGAAACTCAACATCTTCCCCGGACTCATAGGATCCGACTTGGCAAAAACAGGGGGAAACAGGGGGCGAGGGGGCCAGGGCTCCCGATATTTTCGCTACCATCACAACACCAGCAGGAAACTTGCTTGAGATGGGCGACCAAAACCAAAAGGTGATGACTGGAACCACCGAGAGGGGAAATACACTTGGTTGTTCGGCCGGGCTAGTACTAGGTTATACCTACTTGCAACCTTGCCAACTCCACTTGGCGGACTTGCAAGTGGGCCATAAGATCAAACCTAGGTACCTAGCCACTCACTTGGCTGGACACCCAGGGAAGCTGCTTTGAAAGGTAGGTGTTTAGGGGAAGATATACTTCATGAGCTTGTCTAGAGTGGGCTTGTGGCATTGTGGCAATTCTGTGCTGACCTACAATACGTCGGTAGGTAAGCCAAACCAGCTCAGCCATTGTCAAGCCCTGGCGTGAACTGGTGTTTGAAGGGAATGATGAAACGGAAAGGTTGGGCCCCAGCCTTTGTGAACCGGTTCAATCACCCATTCTTCAAACACCCTCTTTCGGCTTTCGGGGTTCTGGTACATGATACATTCTTTGCAATTCGGGTCCTCTAGATAAGCGGTGGTTGGGTTAAGGCTCGCGCTTGTTCCCGAGTAAAGGGCCTTCTGGTTCAACGAAACCCGCGGAATTTCCAGTCGCATGGAAACGATCCCCACTTTCGGTTCAAAAACAGGGGGGCAATGCAGGGACCAGTATTCAACCCTAGGGTTCAACCCCCATTAAAAGCAAGGTTGACCCAGTTTGGACGACAATCCTGAGGTAAACAACGGTGGTTATATGAGCCCCCATTGTTTTGATGGTGGCAACTGAATCCCGGGGTCCAACTGGACACCACAGGAAGATCAACAAAACACCAGAGGTGCTCCCGAGCCCAAGAGTGCTCCTAAGTCCCCAGACTGCAAGGTCTTCCATCCCTCGCCAAGCGAGGGAATGCAATGGGCCCAAAACTGGTATCTTTCGCCTCAAAAAACAGAGAACGAGCCGTTCAACTCCCTCCAAAAAAGCGAAAAAGATGCGCAACCACCCGCCGTCCTCGGTGAAGTTGGAGCACGCCAGCGCTGATGGGCGGAAGTACTCGTGGGGCCAATCCGTCTGCACCGTCTGCAGCGCCAGGCGGTTGTACATCTCCCGCGGCGCCACCGCCGAGTCGTAGTACCTCCGGATTTCGATCCGCGCGAGAGGAGTTTCTCGCGCTCCGGCAGGGATGGATGTGAGCTGCGGGCTCCTAAAAATGTGGACGGTGACGAAGGGCACAAAAAAAAAAACGGGTCTGTCCCCCGTTTGTGGATACTTTAGTTGTCCGCTGCCCATAGGGCTCCGAACTGCCGCCCAAAATAGCTTGCGTTTTTGGGCTCCCACCGAACACAAACACGCAAAAGAACCAGTAGCCGCAAAAAGGAACAGCTGACACCGGACCCCCCAGGTTGATTTATGTGGCTGTTCCACCTGTTTTTGTTCGACAAGTCCAACTGGTGTCGGCACATTTAAGGTTGGAGGGTCTGAACCCAAACCCGGGTGGTCATCAATCGATGCTGGTGGTCATCAAACGATGCTGGTGCTTCCAGCATCCGTAGGGAAGTCACTTCCGAACAAGTGGATTGCTCAAGAATGAGTCCGAATGTTTTTGCGATTAAAATGCGGTCTTCGCAAAAGCAGGGCATGATGTCCACCCTCTACTAAAATGGTCTTCCCAACAAGCATAAAGTTCCGGCTCTCAGGGAGTCTTTGCCCAGTTAGGCACTTGGTCAGCTCGTACTCCATCCCCTCAAATTCATCGGGAACTCTTGACCCAGGGAGCTTGTTTAAACTAGGTCCTCCAGTAGAGAGGGTAGAATCAGTTGGTACCCCATGTTTTGGCAGGACGTGTATTTTAGTAAGGGAACCCTCCCAACCAAAAAAAGATGGTAAAAGGGCACTACTGATGGGATACCTAGTAAACATGCTTGAACGACCCAAACTGTTGAACTGTTTGAACTTTCGGCTAAACGATAGGTGTCCTTTCGGAAAATACATGGCACTAAGTGCCAGAAGCCGACCTATCAGGAATCTTCCCTGTGGCTTCCCTGCCAGGCTTGCGGATTTTACCGCCAACCTCGGGCGTTCCATATCCCGGCTAAGAAGGCCCCCACAATTCTCTCTCCCACCCTGTCCCTGAACTTCACACCTTGGGACAGGCTTCCAAAAAAACGAACCGCCCCCCCCCCCCCCACCAAACCCCCAAACCCCCAAACTTCCCCCCCCCCCCTTCTCTCCCAAACCTCCCGAAGCCATGGCGCTTGGGGTCTAACAGGATCACCGCCACCGTGAAGAGCCAAACTCCCAGCTGCGCCAGGCACGTCAGTTGCACGATCTTCCACGGCAGCTGGCTGCTGCTGATCCTCGATCCATATATTAGCTCAAAGTTAAAGAGCTAGAGATACACAGGTTTTCGTCTTTGGTTCCATGTACCAAAGGGGCCATTTTGGTACATTTACTTGAGCCACAACCATATCTCTCACTCGCTTGATCCGTGTCCGAGTGGGGCAGCAGAAAATGGGGAAAGGCGGCGTCCGTTTTGAGGCTCGGTGTGCTGGTCGCGGCTGGTTTGAAGGAAAACCAAACAGAAACCACCCATTTTGGGGCTTCCTTTCTTGAGACACAACCCGATATTGGATTAACTAACTCATTGTGAAGCACTGACAATGGCCTCTTTATATTGAGATGGTGCCTCAATTTGCTTGAGGGTATCCAACAGGCCTCAAAGGGATCCTTCAGGTCGCAGGTTTCTCGCTCCCAAACAGAGGACTTGTTCGCCTTTGGGATGCTTCCCCAGGCTCGCTTTGCGTGTGGGTGCTTGCTTGGGGCGCTCCAAGTATCCTTGAGGCGCTCTAAGTGTTGTGAGCTGGAGCACATCGTTTTTCTGTACTTGGGTGGTCGGCCAGGGTTTTCGTCTCCTATGAGGCTGATCGCAAGTGGATCATTCCCAAAGTCACCAACCAGTTCCTAACTTGGCCAAAAAGCGTTCATGGACTGAGCGAGCTTCTCCTGTCCGCATCACCAGCATCACCAGCATCACCACAAACCCTTGCAGATTCAGGACCACCCACTGCAAACACATCTTGACGACTCGTTGGCAGTGGGGATTGAGGGGCACTAGCGTGGCGAAAAAACATATGTATATATATATATATACAGATATATCATTATTATTTTTTGCGGCCCCCCTAGTGAAAATGCTAAGGTGAAGCGAACCTCTTGCTCCTGGCTCCCCTTGTGGACTCGTGCTGCGGATTCGTCGGCTTGCTATCGAAATCGGGAAGGTCATGGCCCCAACTTCATGGCTTTCGGCCATCCTGCACGCTGATCGAACAAACTATACGACCATTCAAATACAATCAGTGTCAATCCAAATACAACCATGAGCAAACTCTCCGGGCAAAGAAAAATAGCTGACTTTGGACAAAACAAACGCAGACTCTGAAACACAAACATCTCTGGGGGCAAAAAACAAAACAAACTTCTCCCCGGTCAAAAACAAACTTGCTGGTTCTCCGTGAATCCTCTATGGTTTCCTTAAAGATAATTTCTAGGTTCACCCCCCACACCCGGACTCGAGGTCATTCCCTCCCAGGTTGCACCAGCCAGAAATTCAGGGGCCCCAGAAAGTATGTAGTGAGATCGACTCTTTCAAGGCAAGCTCAAACCAGCAAATGATCTTGCTGGCGCGATAGGCAGGGAATAAGAAATGGTATGACCCCGAGTGAAACCACCCATCTCTTGTGGTTTCCTTTAAGGGAATCCCTGGGTTCATTCCAACTCATTCTATACTAGGTCCTCCAGTAGAGAGCTTAGAATAAGGGTACCCTTTTCTCTGTGGTCTATTTTAGTAGGGGAACCCTCCCCCAAGAAAGGGTAAAAGGGCACTATTGGGGAACCTCGCCTACCTGTCGCAGCAAGTCCTTCAGCGAGCCCAACTTCCTCCGAGCTGCTCCGTGTCCGGGTTCTCCGGCATCAGCTCGAAGGGCAGCGCGTCCGCGGCCACCGCCGCCGCCTGAAAGCGGGAAACCCGAAAAGTCCGAGGGCCCTGATATAAATACATGTCATACATGCATGCATACATATATATGGTACAGCGTTGCCAGCCCCCCCCCCCTCCCCCCCCAATGGTCATGGGTCGGACAAGTACCCCCCCCCCCCTGTGGTTGTGGTCCTGTGGTTTGGGGTTGGTTTAGAATTGGTTTAGGGTATATTTAGGGTGTATTTAGGGTTAGTTTAGGGTTGGTTCAGGGTTGATTTAGGTTGCTTTGTGTTGATTTAGGTTTGGTTTAGGGTTGGTTTAGGTTTAGCGGTGTACGGTTTAGGGTTTGGTTTAGGGTTTGGTTTAGGGTGTATTTAGGGTTGGTTTAGGGGTTGACTGTTTAGGGATTGGTTTAGGGTGTATTTGGGGTTAGTTTAGGGTTGGTTTAGGGTTAGTTTAGGGTTGGTTTATGTTGATTTAGGGTTGGTTTAGGTTTAGAGGTCTACGGTTTGGGGTTTGGTTTAGGGTGTATTTAGGGATGGTTTAGGGTTAGTTTAGGGTTGGTTTATGGTTGGTTGCGGGTTGGCTTGTCCTGGGGGTGGGGGTGCCGGGGTGTCGGGGTGCGAGTTCAGGGGGTCGGGACCGTAGGTGCCAGGATCCGGGGGCTCGGGGTCTCGGGCGGGGGGGGGGGGGTCCTGGGGGACCATACCATATGGGGGGGGGGGGGTAGCAACACGGAACACGGGACCATATATATATATATAATGCGGTTGTCTGTTGATCTACGGATTTCTTCATCTTTTGTTTGTGTCTGGTTTCCTTTGTGTGTGTGTGTGTGTGTATTCATGTGTATGTATGGTATGTTGTCATGTGTATGTATGTTGTGTTGTCACATGTACTTATGGTTTATGGTTTTAAGAAGCTTTGCCTGTGTGTGTGTGGCTTCCGTATGTATCTACATGTTATGTTGTTTGTGTTCACGTCGTTGTGTATGTCTCTGTTTTGTATGTATGAATTTAGCGGGTATGTGGTTGTGGATGTATGATTTTATGTGACATTGCATTTGTGTAGTTCTGCATTTATGTATCGCTGTATGTGTTGATTAACTTATGCATGTATCTGGTTCTGCATTTGTGTATATATTAATGCATTTGTGCGTTCCTGTATGTATGTATGCATGTATTATGTGTTGTGTGTATTTAAGTGATGTTTTGTGCGTGTATGTATGTGTTTATGGGTGTCTGCATTTATGTGTGCATGCAGGTGTGTTATTGTTGTATTGGTTTGTTCATGTATGTATGGAATGGTTTATGTAATTATGTACTCATGTGTTTCTCGACTCATCTATGTATGTATTGATGTAGCTTGCTCGTGTTTAATGTATTTATGTATATATGTACATATGTATATCTGTATTCATGTATATATGTATATATGTATATATATATGTAAATATGTAAATGTGTATATATTAATATGTATATATGTAGTTCACCGAGTTGTCTTGAACCTCTTTCGAGGTGAGCGTTCCCCATTGAATCGCGTATCGGCTTGGCCCAAACATCGCACACAAAAAGAACATCATCTTTAAACTCGCCATTCCCAAAAGATGTCCAACCTTTTCCTGGCCAGACATAGGCCCCTACAGCACACTACTTCTTACTTAGAAGGCAAGAACCAACTTCTTTGAAAGGATTTGGATCCTGGGATTTGGGCGGCTTGTTCCACCGGCCCCGGCTATCCTTCAAGGGGCCTTCACCCGGCCCCAGACTCAAGCGATCCCCGGACCAAGCCACGCTTCCCGAGAAATCCTGTAGCTTCCGTCGCCCTTTTTGTGCTTGCCATCGAACAAAACAAAACAGACAAACCAACAAACCAACAAACCAACAAACAAACAAGCAAACAAGCAAGCAAACAAACAAACAAACAAGCAAACAAGCAAACCAACAAACCAACAAACCAACAAACCAACAAACCAACAAACCAACTAACCAACAAGCAAGCAAGCAAACAAACAAACAAACAAACAAGCAAACAAGCAAACCAACAAACCAACAAACCAACAAACCAACTAGCCAACAAGCAAGCAAGCAAACAAAAAAAACAAAAAAACAAAAGAACGCCCTGCCCGGCATTGGTCGATCCCTCGCCGCCATTGATCGACCCCTCCGGTGGACGGTGGATGCCGTCCTGGAACCCGCTCTTCGGAGAGTTGTCGAGCCGCGCCTGAAGCTCCTGCCGGGGGGCACGGCCGCGTCTTATGCCAAGCGATACTCATGCCCCAACCCCCCCTGGTTGATTCTCAAAACTCATCGCAGTCTCCCTTTAAAATGACGGCGAAAAGGGTACTGAAAACAAACAAAAAACGCACCCCCAATGGGGTTGTCTCAAAATAGGGTTACCCCCAACAGTTGACAGGTTGCTTTCTGCTCCCCTGCTATACGTGACTAACGTTTAGTGGTTGAATACGGAAAACCCATTCGTTGCCAAAAAGTTGAAGTCCTAACATCCCTTGGCAAAATGCTCTCAAAACTTGCTGGTGCTCAGTAGGGAATGAGGGATGGACGTGGAAATTCCCCTAAAGGAAACCACAAGCCCTCAATTCCTTCTGAGCACCAGCAAGAAAACTACAAAGGCAAAACCTATCAAAGTAGAAAGGCTTCATTTCCCCTATCCAGCCAGCAAGCAAAGCGTTGACTGCCTCTATCGAGCCAGCTGGAAAATATGTTTCAAGACCAAGATGGGCGTGTCTTTTTTGGGGGACCTCCCAAAAAGGTGGTTTTCCTTCGTTTCCTTTCAAACGCGACAAGAAAGGGATACCCTCAAAAAAAAGACACACCCAGATTCTCAACAAGCCATGGGAGGTGAACAGCGGATTCTTTGGGGGCGCTCCTTAACTTTAGCTCAAAGCGTGCATTGAAAAGTCAACCGATTTATAGTTCTTTGGTACTCTACTCTAATGTAAGGGCAGAACTCAATACTCTAGTTTATCCCTAAAATCATGACTAAATGTGGTATTGACAACCTTGCTCTAATTGTTGAACGGACCTTGTGGTTGCACTTTCTGAGCGAACTGGTCAAAAACAATCTGTTTGTTGGCCACTAATGTTTGGAAGACTCCATTCCTTGGTAGTAGGGTTTACGACCAAACTAAGCAATATATCGTGGGAGAATAACGTGAGCTATATATTTAGCCCCTTGCATTGACCAATACTAAAGCGATCCTAAGCCAACTATACAACTACAAACCTGATTCCCTATTCCCGAACTCAAAGAAAAGAACGAGCAGTTCGCTTGTTGCATAGTCGACTTTAAGGGGGCCCAACGCGTCCCAAACCAATTGAGAAAAAGGAATTGGGCGTGTCTCTTTGTTAGGGGACCCCCGTTTTTGGTGGTGGTCCTTTTGGTTTCCCTTTAACAACCCAAGCATCCAAGGGGGAGCCTCAAAAAAGAAACACAATCGTATTCTGTTTCTGGGAACGTTTCTCCGGGAACCCGCGTGGGACGAGTTTTCTCGAGCCGCCGCTTGCCGTCGCTTGCCGTCGCTTGGGCCTCCAGGGAGGAGTTCAGCCTCACCAGGTCGATGATCTGCCCCACCTCACCGAGGCCGACCGAGAAAAAAAGCTCCGCGGCCGGCAGGCGAGTCACAATCCAAACCGGGTACTAAAATGGTCTACCCGGAACCATGTAAGGAACTAAGAAGGCGGATATCCGCAGCTATTTATGGCTGGGATTGTCCCTTACCAACCTTCATCTGCCCGGGTTTTGAGCAAGTGGCTCGGGTGGGGGAGAGAGGGCAAAATGCCCCCGGGAGCAGGTGGCCTGAAGGAGACAGAGGTGGTGGGGGTTTGGGGTTTCGGAATCCACGGGCAGGGTTTTGGAGCAAGAGGGCTCAGAGTTTAGTTTAGGGATCTCACGGCCAAAGGCGAAGTGAAAGCCGTCCTGACAACGTGGAAGGGTCTCCCCTCTCGATCCCAAACAAAACCCCCAAACACCCCCCAAAGAACCCATAGCATCCAAGCCACCCTCTCAACCGACCCAACACCCAAACACCCGTTCCACATGCAATCCACCCTACTCCCTTCCACGTGTTGCTTGCCAGGAGCGCGCAAGAAACTGCCATCCACCCCTCGCGCGTTGAAACCGAGCACGAAGCCACGGGAAAAGCTGCGATCCCGCGCCTCGGGCATGTTCCAGGCCACCTGGGCCGAGCGGCAGTCCACCCAGTACAACTCCTCGCTGGCGCCCTCCACGCAAGTGCTCTGGAACCTCCCCAGCCGACGGAGCTCGGATCCCGGAAGGATCCCAAAAACACCCGGAGGTGCTGTTCTCCTTTCTTTTGCTTGGGGCGACGAACCGGAAAAAAACCGGCGGCCCTACGCGAGGTCTGGGGTTCCGGCAAAGTCCCACTTTTAGGCAGAGCTCTGCTGAACATAGATGTCTGTGGCTCAAAAAACCTGTATTCCAAAATGGCTTGCCCTGGTAATTAAGTGTAAACATGGACCAAAACCTGCGGTTTGCCCCTCCTGTTTGATTTTGAGCCACACCCAAATGAGTCTTGAGTTGACCTCCAGCTTGGTTTCCATTAGCCCACTTTTGCACCCGAGCCTTTCAGCCCGAAAAAAAGCCCCGCCGAAGGAGGGGGGTTCTTTGGTTTTGGCTTTTTCCTGCCGCTGTCCTCAGCTCCGCGAAAAGCTTCATTAACTCTTGGGCGAAGTGGAAAACTGACCACAAGATCCCTGGGAAGTACGGGGCGCTGCCCCAGTTTTTCTTTAAAGGCCCCGCGAAAAAGAAAAAAAAAGAGAGAGAGAGAGAGAGCGAGAGAACACCAATTGTTGGGTGGAAAAAAACATCGGACCTCCAAGCACTAAACCAAGTAGAAAAGATCTAAGAAGATCTAACAAGCTAAGGATCCGGATGGCTGGGAACCACCCAGCCCCAGGAAACCCAACCGGACACGGCGGATGCTTCTTCTTTTTTTTTAAGCGCTGACTCGAATCCGTGGAGGCTTCCGGAAGGCGAGCGCGAAACTAGGATAAGGACCTTTTGGGCAAGATCGATGGACTTCCCCCGGCAAATGGATGGCATGTTCCCCCATCTAAACCAGAACCCATCAACTGTTTAACTAACATAGACACCTATGATAAGGACCCTTCTTGCTTTAGATTGCTCTTGTGGTTACCCTCCCCCAGACGATTCCATGGAAGCTCCCTAGAGGTCTTCTCGGGGCTTCCACAGCAGTCTGAGGCGTGCTTCCTTCGGGGTTCCGGTTGCGGGAGATCAGTTTCGCCAAGAGAAGCGTCACGAAGCGCCACGTGGACAATCCCATGACCTTTCAAGGGGCGTCCAACAAAAAGCTCCGGGTTCCTGCTCCATACGACACCGAAACTGGCAAAACAACTTCCTGTATCAGGACTGTGGCAAATGGAATCTATAGCTTGCAAACCCTGCAAACTCCGGGTTGTTCCAACATCGAGACCCATGCATCCTCTGAGTTTCTCTTAGACATCGTCTGTAGGGAGGAAACCAATGCCACCCACGTCTGGGCAAGGTTCTGAACAAACCTACCTGGACCCCTCAAACAGCGTTAATGGGAACTTTTCGAGGGTCCAGGTATTCGAAAAGGCTTGGAAGAAGTTCGAACCTTTTGGAGGGGAAAGCCACTGATGTCGCTCCTTGTCGAAACAGGGCACAGCCAGACTGAAACCTCCGGGAGGGAGAACTCTCAACCACAAAGGCTGCACACATTCGCTTGGCCAAAGAATTGGGAATCTTAGTTTGGTGGACATCAGAATTCGGCGAGGATTCATGTCCACCAACAACTTTAGTGAGGTTTTTCCCTAAACCTCACAGTCAATGCAATACATGCCTTGGCTTTTATGCCCAGTTCAACCGAACCCACCACTCCTACTGCTGCTCAAAATTTGGTGGAAGTACAAAGGCGCCCCCCCCCATGCAGACAATTGGCCCGGTCCCTTGATTCGCCTGATTTTCCCCAACAAGCGGTCAACTCCTCAACTGCGCGCTTCTTCCAGGCCAGCCTTCGGCCGCTGAACCGAACCGAACCGAACCGAGCTTCGGGGTTTCTCTTGAGGCACCAAGAAGCCACGCGGGCGCATCGCTCGCAGCAGTTTCCCGATGTGGCATTGACATCTGGGTCTCCAGATCCTGAGGCTTCCGACCCCCCCTTGTTTGATCGCATTGTTTTAAAAAAGCAAGGTTTTTCGGGGTAAATACCTGTTTTTTCAGTATAGGGTTGACATGATACCCTAAAAAGTAAGGGGTGTACTTGAACGAAAGGATCGAACCGCCAATTTAGACAACCAATTAAGGGCAACCTGACAACTTGATGGCATAGTTTGGGTTGGTGGTTTGGAGATTAGAGTGTGCCTTCGTGTTTGGTTTCAACAAGTACCAAACCTCCAAAATCCTTGCCAATCCAAAAGGATAAACTGATCGAAGTTGATGTTGCATTTTCGGGTCAGTTGCCTAAAGGACCCAGAAATAGAAGATTAACCTTTTGGACCCTTGACTAAACTTGGAAAGTCAACAACTGAGGCACGGGTTGGGTTGGGCTTCCCCCTTCCTGTGTTTGAGGTGAAGCAACAGAAAGCAAACCCAAGAAAAAACTAGTTAGGCCGCTACGGAGCTCCTTGGTGTTCCTTGAGCCAAAACACAGTATCAATCGATACTATGCAACTGCACATGGGTGTAACGTACTGGGCCAACAAATTTCAACACGACCAATTGGGAGACGGAAAATTGCAAATTCGGACATTGATCGGCTGATTTTTCTCAGTCTCAGGCCTCGCACGTGGGTCATGGGTTCTGAGGAAAGAAGGCTCCCTGTGGGGGACCTACCCGTAGGGCATGAAAGCCGCCAGGGGCAACTGGGGCGATGTGCGGGATATCACTTCAAGCCATCCTCGGGGTTTCTAGGAGGCCTGCTTCCCCCCTTGGCGGCGACGCCGAAGTTTTTCCCATGGAACGTGAATAAAAGAAAATTGGAAGCCAGCCTTCACCTAGAAGGAGTCGATGTCCGGAATTGGGTTTGTCTCATGGCGAAGCCGCAACATCTTGGTTGCCCTTGGTTTATTTTCAGGTCGTGGGTCAACAACGGTGGTTTCCCTTTCGGTTTCCCGTTGAAGTGGGTCGTCCAGTCGGCAAACTGTCGGCAAACCTCAATTTCCTGAGTGGATTGGCCAAAAAAAGAGTAACCAAACTGTTCATTTACCACTAAAATGGCCCAAACTCCCAACAGCTTCAAGTCCCTTGTCACTTACCACTCCAACGGCCCGAGCTCCCAAAAAAGTGACTCTAAAGTCCACAAACCAAACTCGGGAAGTGAGAGACATCCTCCCCGCGTCTGCGCGCGCTTGCGGCCGGCAAGGGGTCCTGCACGTACTCCTCCATGGTGAACTTCAGCTGCTGCAGGTCCTCCAGCTCCTCCTGACTCGACAACCGAACGAGCGAGCGCCACCTTCTGCCGCTGGGGATCTTCGAAGGTCCAAAAAACGCCCAGGGAATGGCCATGGCCTATAGATCGAAGGAAGCGGCAGAGGTGCCCTCCAACCATGGAAGCTTGGCGATGGTGAATATATCATGAAACGAAACTGAAGGGTACCCTCCCTACAAGAGTCATGGATGGCTTATATCATGAAACGAAGCTGAGGGGTACCCTCCAAGAATCATGGAAGCTGACACAAGGGTTTTTTGGAAGACTGCTACCCTTTTGGGGAAGCTCTTTGTCCACTTCGATGGTTGTTGGAAAGAGTATAGCAGGTATGTGTCAAAATCAGGGGAAGGGTTCAAAATTGTGCGGGCTTTCCGTTCGGAGTCCCCTTTCAAAACCAACCCAAAAGGGGACCGAGCCTCCAAATAAAACACCAGAGACACCTTCATGCTCCCCTGCAAAACTTGACAGAAGGAAGCCAAAAAGGGCTCAGTTTCTCAGAAGGAACCCCTTTGGGGAAGGGATCCCTGAGCAAGGATTGGGGTTCTGGAGGTTTGGGGCTCCAAAAAAAGGATCTAGGCCATCTGAAACGAAAGGGACCCCCCCCTGTCAAGCAAATGGGTGTGGCGCAAGAGTAGTGGGCAACCTGCGGTCCTGGTGAAGAAAAAAAAAATACCCAAAAGGAGCCACAAGGGACATGTGGTTCCCGTAAAGGACATGAGAGAAGTTAGCGGGGGCCCGCTGCTTTTCGTAGTGGAAATGAGTGAGCTTGGACCCGCGTGTCCCTTGCTAATTTGTCATGGGCTACCGGATTCTTGACCGAACCTCAAATGAAATGAGGGGCATGCCGACAAGGGAGGCCTACGGAAGACCCCCCCAAACCGACGCCTCCAAGTCGGTTTACGTGAGAAAAATCCTCCAGACTGTGATCCTGAAGTTGATGTTCCGATCACTTGCGGCAGGTCGGTTTGGGGCAATTGTCCCAAAGGACTTTGGAACGTTCTGGTCGACAAAACACCTTTCCCTCGGCTTACCTACAAAACGGGGTCCGTGCCAAGCCCCTGGGTTTCAACCAGGGGTGTGGGTAGAGCTTGGGGTTTTGGGCAGGCATAATGTTGACCCCAGATTAATCAACCCCTTTTTATTGATAGGGGGGGGCTTCTGCCTGGGTTTAGTGGTTGGAATCAGACCACTGTTGGAAAGCCCAAAACCACCCCGCTATCAACAAACTAGGGCTGCTTCATTGGGGGTCAACCTTAGGGAACCCCACTAATCCTTAAACTTCGGGGATTCCCTGACCAGTGCCTCCCCCCCCCCCAACACCCAAGCGCTCACCCACTCCCACCAACGGCCCAAAAAACCAAAAGGAAAACCGAAGCGTGTTAGAGGTCCCTTTGACACATACTATGGGCAAGCCCCAACTTTCCGCAACCAGCCACCATCTGGTCAATTCATCCTGATTTTTTAGGGGTTCCCTATAAAAAGGAAACCATATATCGACCACAATCTGGGCAGCCTCATCACAACTTATCCTTGTTTCAGGGGTGCCCTAACAAATAGATCAACGCCAACCTATTGAGGAACCCCCCACCCCTGCTTCAATATGGCCGTTCCTACCCCCAAGTGAACATCCCAATCCCCACTAAAATAAAGCCCAAAATGAGTGGTGAATTCACCTACCAACCAAAATGGGATCCCAAAACGGTTTTGACCACCACAGCCACAGCCATATAATCTCTCCCAATCTCTGGCCTCCACTGTTCGAAATTGCAATCCCCTGGAATCCTCACGAGATGTTTTAGGGGGTTCCCTATGATTTTTGACCCACAGCCATCTCAACACCAACCTATTGAGGAACCCCCCAGCCCTGGAAACCATAGATCCACCAGAATCTGGTCAGCCAAAAATCACAACTTATCCTTTTTTCACGGTTTTTTAAGGAACAAATCAACACCAACCTATTGAGGACCCCCCCCCCCCAATAAACATCCCAATCACCACTAAAATAAAGCCCAACATGGGTGGTCAATTCACATACCAACCAAAATGGGATCCAAAACGGTTTTGACAACAGCCATGCGGTTCCCGCAAAGAACACGAACCCCCAAACTCCTCCCCCGAAAAGCAACCAGCCTTTTCACCACCCACTCCAACCATTCGCCGCGGATCGGATCAACCCGAAACCCGAAACCACCTAAGGAAAAGAAAAGGAAAAGGAAAAAGAAAAGGAAAACAAAACCCACCTAAGTTGGACAAGGCTTGACCAGACGGATGTTTGGGGGGTTCCCTATTAAAGAAACAGGTGGAGAAACAAAAAGGCCCCCTCCCCCCCCAAAAAAAAAGAGCTCAGTCTGGCCATCTCGCCGCTTTGCCGTTCTAAACGGCTCATAGAAATCAACCCGAACCGTTCGAAGCTTCCGCCTGGGTGAGGTGCGTCACGTTCTCCGGGCGCAGCAGCTGCTGCAGCGCCTTGGAGATCCGGCTCGCCTCCTGAGCTGAGCCCCGAAGCGGAAGCCACCGGCGGGAGAAGGTTGCGGCCCTCTTCCATGCGGATTTGTGCGGGTCTGCAAAAAAAATCGAGGAAAAGACAAGTCCAGATGTTTTGGGGTTCCAAAAAGAAACATATGAGGAAAATAGGTCCAGCAGATTTGTTGGGGCTCCCTGGCAAAAATACGCGGAACATATATGTCCAGTGGTGAAATCGATTCCCTTTGATTTCTGGAAACATAGGAGGAAAATAGGTCCAGTAGATTTGTTGGGGCTCCCTGGCAAAAATACGAGGAACATATATGTCCAGTGGTGAAATCGATTCCCTTTGATTTCTGGAAACATAGGAGGAAAATAGGTCCAGTAGATTTGTTGGGGTTCCCTGGCAAAAATATGAGGACAATGTTTGTCCAGTGGTGAAATCGGTTCCCTTTGGATACTGTGGATGGACAAAATCCGTTCGCAGCGCCTGGGAACAATGGGAAACCGGTGTTCATTGGTATTTACAAGGGGATCATCATCTCCAGGGTTTCCTAGGTGGTGCAGGATTTCGTCCATCCACAGTATGTCCAGCAGATGTTTTTGGGCTCCCTGGCAAAAATATGAGGAAAATGGTTGTCCAGTGGTGAAATCGGTTCCCTTTGAAACCAAGAAACATCAAACATATTATTGAATTAATGGAATATGTCAAACGTCCAGTAGTGAAATCGATTCAAACTTTAAAACCCGGTGAAGGTGAAAAAGAGATTCTTGAGCAAATGGAAGAAGAAACAAAAGGAAAGGCTTTCCAAACCTCCAAAGAGGGAAAAGGGAAAGAGCCGCTCATGTTTTCAAGGATCCCGAGAATTCCCTAATCCCCTGGCCAACATTATTCTCCAAATCCAACCCAAATCCGCAACGTCCTGTTGGAGTATCTTTTCATGGATATCAAACTGAAGGCTGTCAACTGGTGGGCGTCAAATGGTCTGGGTATCAATCCCCTTGGTCTGAAAGGTCAGACAACACTTTGCAGAGAAATCTTCGGCCAGTGCAAAACCCTCGCCAACCAAAAAATCTCTGGGACTTACAAACCCGACGTTTGTAAACACTGGACATGAATACCAACTCGCAACGCGCATGCACAAACCGAACAAGCAGGACCTTAAAACCGAGGACGTCTTGCTGGCACCAACAAAACGGCATCCACGGCCATGAAGGTCTATCGCAGAAGGGCCCATGTTCGTTCTTGTGAACTGGCTCGTGTTGCAAGGATCCAGCAAGTAAAAAAAATGGCTAACTTTCTGGGGCCACTACAAATGGACCAAGAAAGTAAGAACAAAAGCTCAGCAAGTCATTGAACATGTCCATCTCGGTTGCCCAAAGGACGCCACTAAAAGTGTGATCGAAATTTCGACCTGGAGAGGCATCACCCCACATGATCTTGCTTTCCGCAAGGAAAGGATGACGGAGCCCTTCATGGAATCCGCGCTGCTCCAAATACCCGTTTTTTGGCTTCAGGTGTTTATTGAAAAGCTGGTGTTCAATGCTAAATGCCTCATTTTTTAGTAGAATATTGACCACACACCCTAAAAGAGCAGGTTCACGAGTTCCTTTATATTCATTGAAGAACCCTGATGTTTGTCCCCAACATTCCTTGCCAATCCAACTCATGGCGGAAGCTGCTCTGTAGATTCAGAAAAGGAAACCAAACAGGGAATCCGAACATCCGAAACGGAGACCTCCGGAGACCTCCTTCTCTATCATGCGCGTTGACCCGTTTTTTTGGGGGGGGGTCCAAGTTCATCTGAACGACTTGAGTCGCTCCTTGTGGGTGGCCACCACGCACTTGTGGTCAGGCTTCTTCTCCATAGCCTCATACCTGGGGCCAGCGGTTGGATTTGCGGCGTCTCCCTCTCTCACTTCCTGAGTTTGGTCAAAAGAAGCCCGAACTGTGTGTTTACCGCTAAAATGGTCTACCGAAAAAAGCTTAAAGTCCAGAAACTCGGGAAGCGAGCTCTCAAAAATCCGAGGGTGCTTTTGGTTCTCCAGGCATTCAAGCAAGATGCGGAGGTGGTTGCCCTGTTTATGGGCGATTCTCTCACATTAGCCACTCCGTGACCATCATATATAAGAACTCAATATTTTTGGTGATTGACATGAAACCTTTGGGTTCCATAAAAGAACTACTAACTACAACTACCCCACTCCACTCCACCCCCCCTCCCCCCATCCCACAAAAAAGAAAAAAAAAACAGGGGACATCTCCCAACTTCACTTTTCCGTGCCCTTCCTTCCTCGTCCTTTCCCCCGGTTTTCCCCTCCCGTTTTTTCTCCGCCGAAGCGCAGCACGCGCTCGGGGCTCTCCCACTGCGCCACGTTCACCGCGTTCTTCACCGCGGAGGCGGAGAAGTGCCGGGAGTGCCAGCCGAAGACGTCCAGGTAGATGGTGGACCGAAACGACAGCGGCAGCCCCGAGCCTCGGGGAGTTTGTTCCAAATGCCTTCAGGGGAACCCAAGGGCGCAAAACGCCGCGCCTGAAAAAAATGCTCCTTAAGGATTCAGGAGAGAGGGGCCCGGAGCCCGGGCCCCAAGGGGGTTTGTCTTTGAACCAAACCCAAAAAGGGTACTAAAAGAAGCAGAACCGTTGCTCCCAGGAAAGATGGTCGAAGCGAAACCGCTTGATTCCGCAACCTGTTGCCTTCCAAGTGGGACAAGAAAAAGTGGTTGGCCCAAGGTACCCCCCACCCCACCCTGCTTGTTTTGTTCCACCCAGATCAATGTAGGGCCCTGAAACAGCCAGGTCTTGAGACCAGGTCCCAAAAAGCAAAGTGGGGTGCAATGGAGGGGGGAACCCTCCAAAGGGGGCGGGAATTCCCACTGGTTGCAACAAAGGCTTCCATCGAGATCGCTTCCCCCTTTCCGGGCCTCTGAACACCTGGGATTGATCGATTTATTCACTGGGTGCCCCCGGCTCTCCAGCAGGGGCTTGGCCACTTTTCGGATCAGCACCACCCAGCAGGCGTGGCCCAGGCAGGTCAAGATGGCCAGGATCCACGGCAGCCAGGCGGGCACCACCTGCGTCGCCAGTTAACGCGAATCGGTCAAAGCGAAAGGAGTCGCGACGATACCGGGCGTTGAAGGAACCGGTTTTGGTTTGGGGGGAGTTACCAAGGAAACCATAGGGGATAGTTTATAGTTTGTAGGGGTGCCAGTCGCCAAGGATCGGTCGAAGCCAAAAAGGACCACCAGAGAATGACCACGAGTCCGGGCGAATGAAGCGTTCGGGCAAAGTCCCGAGTAAAGGAAACCACGGCGAAATGGATGGTTTTTCGGAAGGCCCGGCAAGACCAGGAGAATATGACCACAAAGCTGGCGTTTTGCTTGGTGCTGAAACGTTTGGTGTTACATACGAAACGCAAGCATGGGGAAGCATAGAAGCGGGCCCAAGACAAGTTTCCCCCCCCCCCAAACACAAGAAACATCAGAAAAGCTGGCATGGGGGTTCAGCATTGCAAAGGACGCACAGTAAGAGCGAGGTCACTCCGCCCTGGGGCGAACGATCTTGTCCGGACAAGTACAACGGTTTGTTTTCCCAATGACCCTCGGGGCTCCTAGACAAGCTACTGTGTCTGCTTACCACCTGGGCTTTCCGAACAATCTCCGTTGAACACACCCCGTGAGCTACAACACATGATAGTTCACTGGGCCCAACCGGGCACGCTTCCTCCAACCGAAGGCACGTGCAGGAGGTTCCGTGTTCCCTTGCGTTGGAAGTCATCAGCAAACCATCTTCTTTTCCATCTCCTCCCAATCAAACCCCTAGCTAACCCCCCAGAATCACAGCCCAGCGTTGCTGGAAGACTACCCCGCTTTGCTGGTTCGATAGGCAGGGACTGAGACATGGAATGACCCCAAGAGAAACCGTCCATTCCCTCTGGCTTCCTTTATTTGGGAATCCCCCCGTTCATTCCAGCCACACCACTCGCTTGACACCCCGAGGGCGAGATCCACGGCACCGGGGCCCAGAGCCAGCCCCGATGAGCTGTGGGTTCAGCCCTGGGAGGTTTGTCTTGGCAGCTTTCAATCAACAGGGTTTTCTAGGGGACACTTCCCCGTTCTTTCCGTGGATACACAAATCAAAGGACGGAACCTTCCCACCGAAAAGTTGGCAAGCTTGCCAACCGAGGCAAGAACACACTCGGAAACAACCCCCTAGTTGGGTTCCGTGGTGGTGGGAATCACCCGCAATCATGCCAATGGGTCCGTTTTAGAGGAACATCGTCGGAAAGCAAGCCTTAGCAACTTCCCCCCTGCGTTTCTCAAGCGAAATAGCGTGGCCAAAGCAGGGTTGCGCCAACCCCCCCCCCCCCTCTGTTTTGTACCATAGGTGAAACACCACCAGCACCATAGTTGAAACCACCAAACCCTTTCCCCAGAAAATGATCAGCCCTTAGCCACTTTTGAAGCCCCAACCTCCACCCCCAAGCTAAAACCTCTCCAATCCCCAGCCCAGCTTCTGGACGGCGTGAGCCGTACAAATCCCCCCCTTTTCGGGATTCCGAACCCGACTCCCAGCAACCCCGCCGAGCGCGCCGAGTGCGCGCCGGCGCCTGGTCGCAGGGCCGCACCCCCCCCTTGCCGTGGTTCGTCCGCGCCGCCGCCAGGTGGATGGCCATGCCTCCCGAGAGCTTCGGAACTTCGGGCGCCGGTCGCAAGCGAGGACGTCGTGGTTGGCGGGTTGCGGTGCGCTCAACATTGATGAGTGATGCAGACCAGACCAGTGGAGCTGCTAAATGAAGCGAGTTTGCATATCCTTTCCTCACCTCCAGGCAACGTAGCCTTCAGACGGGTGTGCTTGCATGAGCCGCCAGCCTGGTTGGCAAATTTCGCAGCAGCTGTGAGAGGCTTCGTATTGGCAGGGGAAGTGAGACTGGTTTCCTTCCAGGTGATGGCTGGATTGGTTTGGGTGTTCCCGGCTGGTTTCCCATGCAAACCCTCTAGGGGTTCAAATCCAAATCCAAACCACCAATTGGAGGGTACTTGATTGAAAGAAAGAGGTTGGAATGCCTAGGGGAAAGGACGTTTTATGTTGGATTAAAAATAGATGGCATGCTCAGTGTTCAAAACATTTGTCGAAATTGTAGAATCTCACCCGTTTTGGTACTCTAAAGGGAAGAGGGAAACCCTGGTCATTTTTAGGACATGCACTGATTCCTATTTTGAAGAAACCCCCCACTTGGAAAGGAATCCCAGGCCGAAAGCGCGGCTGGGAAAGTTTCGTCCAAAACCGGGGCGGGTGCTCTCCAAAAGAACAAATCGCAATGAACCAAAGCAACCAAGCCAGACCAAACTGCACCAAAGCAAAACAAGCCAAACCAAACCGGTCCAAGAGTGAACCAGACAAACAAAAATCAAACCAACCAAACAAATCAGCACGACGAGAATCCCTCCAAACGAAATGGAACGCGACCACACCAAGCCAAACTCCAAACCGATCGAGCCAATACAAGTTTACCGAAACAAACCAAACGGGACACAGCGATCCAACACAACCAACCAGGCCAACCCAAACAAAACAAAACGAACAAACAAACAAACACACTAACTAACTAAGCAACCAAAAGCAAACACCACAAGCCCACTGGTTCCGGCAAACAAACAAAGGAGTTGAAATGGCCCCTAAGCATCCCTGTGGCTTTCGTTGGGATCCCAAACCCCGACCTGGGCTGTCCATACCCATCGAGCCTGGAACCGAAAGCCAAAAAAAACTAAGAATCGAACCGGACGATTCTGGAGCCGTCAATGGTTCAATCCAAAACGGCTGATTCCCCCAAACCCCCTCTTCCCTGATGCCTGCCCATTGAACCTAGCGAGAGACCAAAAGAACGGAACACAACCATGCCATCGATGGCTCAATCCCAAATGGGTCCTTCCCAAAACCCGACCTTCATTCCCGACCCATCGAAGCAAGGACGGGAAGAAGGAAAACAAAAAGACCTTCATTCACGACCCAAACCAAGGACGGGAAGAAGAAAACTAGAGGACGAGTGGCCCGGAAGCATAGAGGCAAGTTAGTTGTTAGCGATCAAGTAGTCTAGTCGCAACAAGCTGCACACAGACAGATTCCGCTTTTTGTCAGTAGCTCGAATATGGCACTAAAAGTTGAGGAATTTCATGCACTTCTCAGTGCAGGTTCTCCCTGCTCATCGCGATCTTGCCCACCATCATGTCGCGCGTGTAGATCGAGTGGCTCGGCATGTGGATCTCGATGATGCATACCATGCTTCGGGCGGCTCCAACATGAACAAACAGGCAGCAAGCAAACTACCGCGATGTTGTTTTTTTTTGCCGCGCTAGCTTGAACCAACCACCAGGCGCGTGGCGCGGAAGGCGAGGCGGGGGAGAACCAACACCTGAGGCACCGTGGAGAAACCACCACCACCTGGGCGAAGCGAAACTGGAGCGAAGCTCCTGGACATGCAGGCAACTTACATAGCGAGGTCTCAATGCAAATGCAGAAGTGTGGCACGGAGGTTGTTCAATCTGCTGATGTTGTCCGGCTTCACTCGGCTTCCCTTGGCTTCCCTCGGCTTCACTCAAGTGCAACAGCGCTCAATGAGCACACATGCTCAAGCATGTCATGTAGGTTGTTCAATCTGCTGGTGTTGTCCGGCTTCACTCGGCTTCCCTTGGCTTCACTCGAGTGCAACAGCGTGCAGGCAGCACAAATGCTCACGCGTGTCATGTAGGTTGTTCAATCTGCTGATGTTGTCCGGCTTCACTCGGCTTCCCTCGGCTTCACTCAAGTGCAACAGCGTGCAATGAGCACAAAAGCTCAAGCATGTCATGTAGGTTGTTCAATCTGCTGACGTTGTCCGGCTTCACTCGGCTTCCCTTGGCTTCCCTCGGCTTCACTCAAGTGCAACAGCGTTCAGTGAGCACAAATGCTCAAGCATGTCATGTAGGTTGTTCAATCTGCTGGTGTTGTCCGGCTTCACTCGGCTTCCCTTGGCTTCACTCAAGTGCAACAGCGTGCAGGCAACACAACTGCTCAAGCTGCTGATGCGAGTTGTTCAATCTGCTGATGTTGTCCGGCTTCACTCGGCTTCCCTCGAAGAGCAAAACGTGGAGTCAGTGCAAAGCGCTCAAGCATGTCACGCAGGTTGCTCAATCTGCTGATGTTGTCTGGCAGCAGCGAGGAAGATCGCAAAGCGCATGTTGAAAGATATGGCGGCTACATGCTGCGCGCGAAGCTGTGCGTGGCGCGGTGCGTGACGCTGCGCGCGGTGCTGCGCATGATGTGGCACATGATGCTGCGCGCGAGGCTGGTTCAATCTGCTGATGTTGTCCGGCTTCACTCGGCTTCCCTCGAAGAGCAAAACATGGAGACAGCGCAAGCGCTCAATCTGCTGATGTTGTCTGGCAGCAGCGAGGCAGATCGCGAAACGCGTGTTGCAAGATGTGGCGGCTGCGTGCTGCGCGCGAAGCTGTGCGTGGCGCGGTGCGTGACGCTGCGCGCGATGCTGCGCATGATGTGCCACGTGCTGCTGCGCGTGAGACTGCGCGTGGTGTTCACCAGTGCTGGCGGTGTCGTTCGTGTGCGTTTGTGGCGCTGGCTGCTGGCTCTGCCGGAGTTGTGCGCCCGCATACAAGCAAGAGGTAAAAGCCCAGACCGCTCGCGACTCACTCGCATTGTTCTTGCTCGTCGCATGCGCCCGCTCGTTGCGCTCAGCAACAAGCCGTGCATCACTACCTGAGCTACTCATGAGCTATGCTACCCGGAGGACTCACAAAGAATCACGCGTGCCGCCGCGGAGACTGGAAGTGCCAAGGTCGTCCTTGAAGTCGCCGGAATCCGACCACCAAGATGCTCGTCCTCCCACGTCTATGTCGCGCCAGACTGGGATCGCTCGCGCGTCGGAAACATCCGCCAGCGCGAGCCAACCCAGATGACACGACTATAGCTGTCTGCAGTGCTGAGCCATCTTGATGACGAACGGTGTGGCAGCCCAGGCTGCGTGTCACGCACGAAGCTTTTGCCGGACTCGCCGCTCAAAAGCGCCAGAGGGGAAGAGATCGGACACGAACTCGCCCGGAGGACTCACAAAGAATCACGCGTGCCGCCGCGGAGACTGGAAGTGCCAAGGTCGTCCTTGAAGTCGCCGGAATCCGACCACCAAGATGCTCGTCCTCCCACGTCTATGTCGCGCCAGACTGGGATCGCTCGCGCGTCGGAAACATCCGCCAGCGCGAGCCAACCCAGATGACACGACTATAGCTGTCTGCAGTGCTGAGCCATCTTGATGACGAACGGTGTGGTAGCCCAGGCTGCGTGTCACGCACGAAGCTTTTGCCGGACTCGCCGCTCAAAAGCGCCAGAGGGGAAGAGATCGGACACGAACTCGGAGCTGTGCCAGCCAAGCTTTCTAACGTAGGACAGTGCCCTGCTCTCGTCCCGAAGCGCTTGCGCTTCGAACTGCTGCATCCTCTCCACCAGCGTGGTGTTGTGGGCGTGCAAGTGCCCCTCAAACACGTCCCTCTCAGGCAAGTCGATGATCCACAAGTCGTCCAACTTGCGCGGGCGAGATAGCATGACGTACATCGCCAGGGCGTAGTCTGCGTCTTTCATCCAGCTGGGCCTGGAAAGGAAGGCCACGAGACCCCGCCGGGCAGTCACGCCCTGCAGCCCGTAGTGAGTCAAAACACAGCGAGGAGCCAGCGGCACCTGCTTGCGCACCACGCTGATCTTCTCCTTGCCCGCAGTATGAAAAGACCAAGCGTTTTCTGAAGATATGGCGCGGATGAAAAAGTGCCCGGGCGGAACGCCCTCATGCCCAGGTAGGCAGTAGTTCTTGTACTCCTCGTCATCTACTTCTACCAGCACTGCCAGAGGCTGATATGCGAGAACAACACACCCCTGACCCTCCGGGACTGGCGGCTCCTTCGGGTGCAGCTCTATCCTTCGAACGATCACGGGCAGCTCGCGTGTCAGCAAGGGCATGGGCAATATGCAAGACACGCGGGCAGGCATGCCCACGTAGAGAGGACACATGCCAAGCAGATATGACGTCTTTGTCATGTTCACGACCTGCAAGGCTGCGAAGACGTGGCTGCTCCCAGGCAAAGCCGCCCCAGTGAGCTTGGAGGAGCTGCTCGCGAGTGGACGCTGAAGTCGTGGAGGCCGAGGTGTAGCTCCTCGCTTTGACGGCTTGCCACAGCTCGTCAGACATGCGCGTCCCACTTCGCATGTGCTGCAAAAGCTGCACGAGCTGTCGCCCAGAAACGCAATCCAAGAAGCGACCTGTGCCGGTGAAGTGGACGACCCGCTGCAGCGACTGCTTGAATAGCAGGCGCCCCAGCTCGGACGCGTTGCTGACCTCACGGAAGACTCAGAGTGAGGCATGGCCTACATCCAACCGTGGAAATGCGTCAGACAAAAACACAACACTCAAAGCTCACAAACGCTGCCAAGCCCTTGGAGCCTCCTCCGAGTCGTCGTGCTCCGCGTCCGCGTCGGGGTCGGCCGAAGGCTCTGTCGCTGCCTTGGCCGACACCCACTCACAGAGCGACTTCTGCGTGGCTGGGCGCAGCTGCAAGAAGTCCGCCAGCTGGATGCCGATGGGCATCTTGCCAAACCACTCCTCCATGTACTTGCTCATGTCCAGGCCCAAAGGCTCT